AATACCACTTAAAGTGTTAAAACAATTCCAAAAACCGTTAAAATCAAACAACAAAATATGCTGCTTAAACAGGATACTTGGCAGCATATTTCAGTCAACTAATACCTTAATTCAATAGGCCGAAACACCCACGTCAGTTGACTGATACACTCCATCGGTCGGCCGAAACGTGTTGTATTATTCTTCTTCGTCTTTAACAAATTTTTGGGCCTTTTTATCTCCATTGTTAATGTCCTATGAACCAATCTATGTTCCAGAATTGTCCCAATAACAATTTTACATTATGTTAACATGCTTTGAACAACATAAAACACAAATTAATGCATCATTTTATCAAAACATGGGAATTCAACACAGACCCATTATTAAAAACACATGAACTGTAACTTTCAATTTAATTTATGTAAATAAGTTCAATTAATTCAATTAAATTTCTGGAACTAATTGAGCATGTATAGGTTGTGAATTAAAGGATAAGGGAATAATTAAAACTTGACTTAAGAATTTTGATAAAAACCCTAGCCTCTTTCTTTTTCTCTCTTTCCTTTCCTCTAAAATATATTACGTGAATATTTTCTAACCCCCTAATACTAACCTATAGTTATTTATTTATAGACAAATAAAATAACCCTAATCTTTTTAGTAATCCAAGCCTAATAAAAAAATAAGAAGATAAAAATAAATATAATCTATATATATCATTTACTATATAAATATATATATATATATATATATATATATATATACATACACATCAGATTATCTATTATTAATACTAATGTTATAAACAATATTAATTAATAAATTACTTTCCTTATACATATACATATACAATTATTCATGGGTAATTATCCGTACCTAATTAACCTTATATCCAAGTAGTGTATGGGACTCAATTGGTTGGTCTATTACTACTATATATACCCATAAAATAAAATAAAATAAAATAAACATTTAACTATTTAATCTATAATTAATTACAAGTAAACAAACGCATCAATTAAATCATTTAATTCGAATAAAACATTTAAGCACAAAATTTCAATTAATCATTTAATGCAAATAAAACATTTAAACGCGTAATTACAATTAAAACTTAATCATATAGCCAAATAATCAAGTAAAAATAAAAATGCAATAAAACATTTAAAATAATACTGAGACTATCATTTTGAAATTAGGGGTATTACACCTTATAGGCGTGTTCGTCGTAGCAAAATAACAACATAGTTCATGCTTACTTTAGTTGTCATTACAAAACTCGGATTAACATCTAATTGATACCAAAACAACATGGTTCCAAGTTAGGGCTCATAATGCCTCAATTACAATGCTTTACAAATATTTAACTAAGTCTAAACATTGAATACAAAAAAATACAATAATTGACCCTGACTAAGCTTGTGGGGATCCTTCTTCAATTACGTCTTTGCCATTACCTGAAAAATGGTAATAAAGGAGTGAATACAACTGCTCAATAGGATGTGCCAAAAACGCACTCCTTAATGATCCCGTGAATTACACGCAAATAATAGGGTATATAAGAGGGATCATGCTTACTTTGGGAAAATAAACCAAATGAGCATCATCACACACTATTCGAACATACTCAATAAAATGCAATACAATGCCAAAGTAACGGCCATGCAATGTTAATGCGATATCAATATCTCTCCCCATTTTCCAAAATATTTGTCTATGCAACAATCGTCAAATCGTTAATGTCACCAGGCTCGAGGTAGCTCCCCGGCGCCACGAAAGAATGATCGGCTAACTATCCCTGACCTAAGGCAACTCCTTAGCGTCATTTTGGGCCTAGTTAACTCAACCACGCATAGGGCAATCTTCCTATGTTCCCCCTAGGTTTCATTAACCACACAGAAGGCGACTCCTTGCCGTTCGGTTTTCACAAACTTTTCTTTGAAATCCCCCAATTTAAAATCCAATGCCTCTTTTCCAAGAAAAATAACTTTTCCCTTTTACTCCCATAATGTCAATCCATGATTCCAATGATCTCTACATCATGCCAACATAAAATTTCATACATAAACTATAATCCTACTTGCATGCTTTGGGAGTAAACTAAGAAAACAATTCTCATGCAATCAACTTATCAATCACGACATTTTAAAAATTAAAATCACGTAAGAATACCAATTAAACATATATCTTCATAATAGCTCACATAAGCATGTAATTTGAACACATTTCATCACATAAGACATAATATCATGATTCAAAATCACAATTTATACATGTTATATAACACATATTAGAGAATTAACTCACAAAAATCAAAGGTTGTGGGCTTTAGGAACCCTTACCTCGAATTGAAGAGAAAAATCCCTTATTTGCCTAAAATTCGAAATTCCCAAAGTCACCCAAACGAAAATCCACTACGATCAAATCATAACTCTCGTCGAGCTTGTTAGCTTTGCCTTCAATGGCAAAGTTCAAATCATGAAGGAAAATGAATAAATCAAGGCTTTAAGATGCAACTTTAGAGAGATAATGAGATTATAAAAAGAGGGAGGGAAAACCTCGGCATAAATGGGGAAGGAAATGAGCTAAAAATCAGCATGTGTGGTCTTTGTAATGTGATTTGGTCAATGTGGGTCCCGGTTGACTATAAAAAAGACTAAAATGCCCCTGTATGCAATTACACCATACAAACATGTTACAAATCTGAAATAAAACACTCAACCACACAAATATGCTCAAAACTATAATATACAAAGTGCAATGAACTCGAAAAATAATTTCGAGTACAAAAAATCTGGGTGCGAGACGCACCCAGGACACGGCTGAAAATCTGAAAAAGTCTAGAAATGCATTTATAAGAGTTTTAAATTCAAGGAAATACCCCAAACCTCACTCAGAACCTTTGTGGCACGCAAAATGAGGTACGCAAATAATTAAATCCAAAAATTCAAAAATTGGCTGAAAAATAGAAAATTGAGAAATGTTACATAACTATTCATTTGTTTGGTATGCAATTTAATGCGGTAGTGGTCATTCCATTTGAATGAAAATCCATTATTGTGAATGAAAATTCATTCCATAACTAAACCTATGAACTGGCTATTCCATTCCTAAGTCATATTTAAATAAAAATTAAATTCCCAAAACACCCTCATGTTTCGAGTGTGAAAATCACCACTACCACCTTTTACCACAACCACCGCCGACTTTTACCATTGCCACTACCGCTACCACCACCTTCCACCACTACCACATTCGACCACCGCCACCTTTGCTGTCTTCCACCACCATTGTTGCCACTACCATTACCACCATTGATGCCGCTGTTTTCACCATAATTGCCACTTTCCACCACCACTGTCGCCGCCTTTACCATTACCACTGCCACTGTTGTAGCTATTTGCCACCACTATCACATCATCGCCACCCCCACCACTTCCGCCAACGCCACCTCCACTTTTATTGACTTACATCACCGCTACCGCCTCTACCTCCACCTCTATCGCAACCGACTTCCATCGCCGCCGCCACCTCTACCTTCACTTCCACCGCCTTCCACCGCTACTGCTATCACCTCCACCTCCACTGATTTCAATCACCACCACCGACTTCCATTGCCTTCCACCACCGTCACCTCCACTGTCGTCTTCCACAACCACAACCACTATCACCTCTACTGCCTTCCACCACGACCACCTTCCACCACCGCCATCTTCGAGCACTGTTTCCATTATCATCGTCTACTCCAATAACATCTTCCACCATTACCACCGCCGTCACTGCCACTACCACTACCTTCTACCAACACCCTGCTACCTTCCACCACCACTACCATTTTCCACCTCACCATCATCAACCACCATCGCCATTTCTTTTTAAAAAATTATAGAAGAATTTTATTTTATTAATTTAAATTATTTGTCACTTATAGGGGTATTTTGGATAATTCAATTTAAAAATCATTATTTTCTAAAATTTATATTAGTTCTTTTCTACAAATTTCATATTTGCAACCAAATAATATAATAAGATTGACCTTTCTATTTTATTCACATTTTCATTCCATTTTTACTTATACTCTATTCTATTCCTGCATACCAAACGCAACATTAAGGTTGTTCGGTTCAATTTTTTGAGAATAATATAAATACTTTTATAACGGAACCGAATATAAAAAAATAGTAAAAAAATAATGTTTCGTTGATAGTTTCTAAAACATCAATTAAAAAAGAGGTTGATTTTAGAAAATCGTCTTTTACAATTCTCTAAAAAATAAATTATTATTTTTATGAATTATTAAGATCTATATTTCACTATTAGAGATGAGGGGGGTATTTAAACAATTTAAAAGAAGAGTTATTAAATTTAGTAACTCTCATTCAGAGAAAAAAAAAACATTAGTAACTCTCACAATTTCAAATTCAACAATTTAAATGAAAAAAAAGGCACTGGAAATAAATAAATATTTGGTACGAACAACTTTTGAAATTTCAATTATTAATAGTTAATAGATATTTTAACCACATCACATCTGAATCGGATGTAAAATGGGTCAGTCAAAGAACATGCATATTCCATTCCTTTTTATGAATTCAAAATTAAGATAATAAATAACACCGACCTCTCAAGGAAATTTCATTTCAATATATATATATTTTAAACATAATTTCATTTCAAAATTTCTTTTAAAAACATAATTTCATTTCATTTGTAGACATATTATTATTGAACTAATCTTACCTGTTAAAAAAAAAAAACTAATCTTACATTATCTTAGGGCATCATTGACCCATTGTAAATTTGAAATTATAGATGAGTCATCGTAATTAAAGAGAATTAATGTGACATATAGGAATAAGAAAAAGGACGATGGTAATGATTATTGTAATTAAAGATCAATTGATGAAAAAATTAATTAACTTCTTGCCGTAGAGAGAGAGTGTTGGGGTATTTACGCAATTTAGGTAAACGTCTAGTGGCAAAACATTATCTGAAAAACATTCAAAAGTCTTGCCTATTATTAAAGTCCCAGAGGGGTAAAACGTTTTCAAAACCCTCGCTCCCAAAACTGTGTGTTTCGGCCGTTCTTTCTCTCTCTTCCGTTTGCAAAGCACTCCATTCGCGTTGCTTTGTCCCCAAACCCTATCATCTAAACCCCTTTTCATCTTTACTAACCATATTTAGGGTTTGATCATCCATTTATTATCAATATATAGCATATACATACATACATATATAGATATATTTAGATTGCAGTGTTTTTCAATTTGTTTGTGGTTTTTGGTTGGAGATGGTCTCCGGTTCGCGCATCGAAGGTGGGACTCAAATTCTCTCTGCTCGTGTCCGGAAAACGATTCAGTCAATCAAAGAAGTCGTGAGTAATCACTCTGATGCTGATATATACGTTGCCCTTAAAGAGACCAACATGGATCCTAACGAAACTGCTCAGAAATTGTTGAATCAAGGTTAGTTTATACTGATTTTAACTCTTCGAATAACTGTTTGCTACTGCTGTTTAGTGAAAAGATTGGTTTAGGAAAAAACATTGAAACGTTTGACTGAATGTACCCAAAGAGGAATTTGTGTAGCGAAGTTTTAGCTAGAATTGAAGTCAATATTTTGTTTGTATTGAGTGCACTCTCAGTTTACAATGATTTTTGGAATGAATAATTTGGATTTTTGGAAGTTTAGATATAATGTGGGAGGGTTTCTGTGGTTTTGGCAGATACCCTTTTACTGCAATTAGCATATCAATGTGGGGTTACCTAAAAAGTTTGTACTTCGTTATCGATTATGGGTTCAGGCCTTCGGAGCCGCATGACTTTGTTTTGTTATGCTGTTGTGTACTTGTTGTCTCTTCTAGTACTTTTACTGAGTTATAATGTGCTGCTTTTGAAACATAGTATGAGTTGTACCTATGGCCTGTTGAAACATGGGGAGGAGAACCAACCCTGTATATCGTATTTTAGAGGGACATATTTGGAGAAGAGGTGTTCCTGGAGTGTTGATTAAAAAGGCACAAATAACTTCAAATTATCATTATGACCATCAGGCAAAAATTGTTAATTAAAATCTTCACCATCTTTTTATAGATGAAGGGTTCTGTTTATTGCAGATGAACTATGGAACAATGTCATTTCTTTTTGGTTTATATTGAAGTACAGTAATGTTAAATTCTCCATTGTATTCTCGTAGTAATATAAATGGCATTATTATGGGTTGTCATATGCAGTCATGTTTTCTTATGAAATATTTATGAACTTGAGCTGTCATTACGGTGTCTTTTTCTTACTTACAAACTGAATTAGTGAACCCAAAGTTACAGTTAAAATTTCATTCTAATCCTCTTCTACAGATAGTATAACTTATTCTAATCCTTTTCAACAGATAGTTTAAGCCTTTTTTTTTTTTTTTTTTTTTTTTTTTTGCGTAAGCATGGATAGTTTAACTTGCATTACATTATATTAGTGTTGCATAAGCATGGATTAAGATTATCATAATTAATTGTATAAATATTGTTTGCCAATGATTTTGTACTTTTGCTCCAAAGAACATAGTTTGAAATGAAGAGAGACAAGGATTATCATAATTAATTGTATAAATATTGTTTGCCAATGATTTTGTACTTCTGCTCCAAAGAACGTAGTTTGAAATAAAGAGAGACAACAAGCAGCCTGTTTGCATATCCATGGAAATCTGAACTAAAATTCCATTATAGTGTCATGGTTTCCTTTACTTATCTTGCCTATACTTATCAAAAAATCTTGCCTCTGCTTATCAAAGTTATTTTTATACAAGCTAGTAATATGTTGTGAATATTGTATTGAAGAAGTGTGGGGTCTTGATGGAAAGTGGAGGTGATAGTTCCTATGTTTGGAACAATTGTTTGGTAGGTGGTGGTTATAAGATGGTTGGTTTTGCATGTGCTCAATGAGTATGGTTTTGGTGTGGAGTTTTCAGTGAGAATTTTAGCCATGAATGTAGGGCAGGTTTGGGATTTTGTGTGGTTTGTCTTTGGTCAATCGATAGCACTTAGTTGTAGTGGAGTTTGGCCATAGAATAGCTAAATCTTCAAGAGAGAAGTTACAGAAAATTAACGAAGATGAGGTGCAAGATACGGGATGATGGTTGCCAAAAATGATGGTTATTGGTTGGGCCATCGGGCAATAAACAATGAGAATGTTTCTGTCCTCAATTTTGCAAGAACTGTGGTAATTGATGGGAGCTTTTTTAGTGGTTGGAAAAGTTGTCTTGTGGGAATCTTTCTTCTCTGAGTCCAATCGACTCTCATTTGCCTCCTACTAGATAAGTCGTCCTAAATGCTTGCACTGAGTGGGTTTTGGATAAGACGTTGATTTTCTCTCTTGATTCTTATATTGTCTGGTTGTAAAAAAATAGTTGAAACTAAGGACCAAATGATTAACTATGCTTATGGTAGCTGGTTGGGCCTCCATAAAGCGTGAAGTAGGGATTTTGACTTATAAATCTGATCTTGTTTGCATAAAGGCCATTAAATATTCACTTGTGGCGCTACTATGGGCAAGATTGTCATCATAACTTACCAGAGTAATCGATGATGTACTCCCACTAAATGATGCATTGTGTAGGAGAGTGTAGGTATGTTCCATGAAGCACCTATTTTTTCCGTTTTACATGGTGGTTCAAGATGTCAGAAGTGATTGATTGGAAGGTTGGAACTTAAATCAATATGCATATATATATATATGTATATATATATATATATATATATATTTTCTAAGAAACTGTATGTGGATTCTTGATGCTGCTGGCCGTGGTGATTGTGGAGGCATTGGATATTGCTTGAAATAATACCCTTTTATTGGATGATAAGTTATAATTCTATATATATATGGTGCTGGTCCGTTAATGTTTAAACTGGCTGCATCAGCTGGTAAAATTCGTCATGTTAGTCTTTCTGTCTTGCACTATACTTGCTGATAAGCCCATTGTAAATTTTGATTTCTTAGCCAAGGCAGTATAGCACATTGAATAGGGTTTTAGGATTCTTTGTTGCCTTATTCCTTCTTTCTGGTTTTGATATTACATTTTTATAGATTGTCTTTCCATGTCATGGAGGAGTCTTCTCTTCCTTTGATAGGGTTATGTTATTTAGCTAAGTTTTCTTTGTTTTATGTATACTAATATTTATAGCCTGCTGTTTCCAGTTTTTACCTCATTATGCATAAAGTTCTTAGTCTTCGCTTATTCTTGTTTGTTTTCCGCAGATCCGTTTCACGAGGTGAGGAGAAAGCGAGATAAGAAGAAGGAGGTATAATTGTTTGCAAATCCATGCATCTTTTTAGGCATATTGCTTATGTATACAGCATTGGGCAAAATGCTATCGGTCTCCTTGAATTATTTCCCTTTGGTTTTTGCACTATAACATTGATACTTTTACTTCTAGTTGTTTTTATACATCTCATTCCAATATTTTCTTTATTTGGTTCTGTCTTGTTCTTAACATTGGTCATGTCACTATATTTGAACCAACTGTTTTGGACATTGGTTTGTTGGGTTATTTTCCTAGTAGATCTTATGGAGGGAGGCTGAAATGATAATGGTGCTGATCATGCAATTGTGTCTAATTCATGCATCCTCTATCTTTTGGAAACTGTAATCTTTTAAATATTTGTTGCAAGTCATTTCTATGCTTTTCATGAAAATGCAATACCACAAAATAGTATCTATGGTTGGAAATAGTATTTCCTGCTATATAGTATTCTTGTTTATTGAGACTTTATCCCATTGGAATAGTCATATTTCATAACACCAACATAATATCATTTAACCATTATATTTCTGGTTACTTATAAAGTTTTTACTGTTGGTCCTCGTTAACTCAGTTCTTTTTTGGGTAGGGTGAAGGGAACAAACAAACTTTGCCACTTATGCAAAGTGGCTGTCCTCAGACTAGAACTTGATTTCTCACACATGGCAATCCGAGCTTTCATTGTTCCAACAGTGGTCTATAAGGCTTCAGCATAGGAAATTTATATATATTTATAAATGTTGTGTGAAAAAGTAATATAAGGCTTTAACATAGGGAATTCATAAATGTTTATAAATGTAGTGTGAAAATATAACTGAAATCTCGGCTCCGAGATAAGAAGATAAGCATCACTGGATTTTTTAAGCCAACTTAGAACCATCTGATAGATATCTTCAAAATTATGAGTTACAAGATAATCCTCCTTTTGTGACCATTGAGTAGGGTGCAACCTTTTTTTGCAAACTAAGTACTTTGGACTAGCTGAAGATTTGTATCTACATTGGGGTTTGATCATTTTGGAGTTTAATTGTATTTAAGATTGTTGGAGAGGAAAATTTGTCTTCATTTAGTTTTTGATTGGCAAAATCTTTTTTTTATTTATTTTGCCTCAGAGTACAGGTTACAAGGCTTCTACAGAGCCAAGAAAATACAGTGAGAATGTAGGTCAAGGGATGAAAACTACCACATATTCTGATCGCAATGTTAGAAGAGGAGGTTATAGTCGCAACGCTTTACCTGGTAATGTGCAGCCATAGCAGGAATTTTATGTGTCAGTTTTGTAGAAAATTTTCATTTGGGTATTGTACTTTGTGCCCTTTTTTTGCTGCATTCTGATGATGAAGAAGTTGTTGTTGATCGGATAATTGTGTGAGAACCACTTTAGAAACTCTTCTACTTGATTTTTACAAACTTTCTGAATCATGGCTTACACTCTATACACATATGAAGCAATTCTGATACATAATTCTTTTGTGGAAAATGGTAGAATTATTGTTAATGCGATGTTTGCTTGATCGATATATGAAATTGACTGGTTGTGTCACAATATATTAGTGTTCGGTAACCTCATTTTGGGTTTTTGCAATTCTCTATTCCTAGAATAGACTTGGTTACATGTCAGGCAACATTAAAAATATTCAATTAATGAAGTCATCTACACATACTTTAATCAAAACATGTTTTTGCTAATACTAATTGTAGTTAATGTTTAATGTATTTTGAAATCATTGTCATCATCATGATCATCATTCTTGCCTTTGTCTCATATGAATTGATTTGGTAACATGAATTATCATTTTCCATTTTTTCTATTACAAGTCATGTCACGTTGTTATAGTTAATTTTAAAAAATCATTTCTAATTACTTCATTCCATTTTAGTTTTGGTCAGCCTTCTTTTTCTCTTACCTTTTATGCACACTATCTTTTTCTCAGTGATGCATCTTCAGGTTTAAGGTGTGAATGTCGAAACCAACTAAGTATGTTTTATCTTATTTTATCACTTATAGTTGACACCCCTAATTTTTCCTTCACACAGTTGATTATTAGTCCTATCTCTTCTAGTTGCTCCTATTGTCCATATCAACTTTCTCATTTCAGCTACATGAATTCATTTTTAATGACCAACATTCTGTTCCATATATAAGATAGCTGGCCCAACAACCGTCCCATTAAATTTTCTTTTTAACTTATTTGATATTCATTTATCACATATGACACCACTAGCACGTTGCCATTTTAACCTCCATACTCCAATTCCATTAAATATAGTGGCTTCTATCTTCCGTCCTTTAGTATTATTGATCCTAAAAACCGTATATGGTTAGTTTGGGTTACCCTTTGATCTTGAATTGCAAGACTTATTTTGAAATGCAGAATCTTTTATTAAGTATATAAAGGGGTACTAGTTATAAAGCTGAGCATGGCAGAAGTAGGAGACTTTCTATAGTATGCACTATTAATATTAAAAAAAATTGAGACGAAATTTTCTGTAGTTTGAATTTTATATCACTTTAGTGCACACAGACGATTTGTCTTGATTTGAAATTCCTGATTAATTTGCTGGAAAACTGGCATTATTGGTAAAATGATGAGTAACTTCTTCCTGCCACAAAAATTTTTGGCCTTGCACTGATCAGAAAATCTCATATCTCTGGAATTTTTTCTGGGGAGAGGGATTTCAGCAACACATTCTGCTCCTGAATGAATAATTGTTTTTGTTTGATTCAGATTTTACTTTGGACAAGATGTGATCCTTTTCTCTTAGTAATTTTGTTTTTCGTTCTCCTATTTATGTTTTTGTAATGGTGGGTAGCGCCTTCTCTCCCCCAGCACCAACAGATTCTACTAGAATACCGTTGTTCCAATTTGTAGAGTTGTACTTCTGCAGTTTCACATTGTATTGGACCTGTTATCAAATTAGTAACATGATCCATAGTAATATGCATATGTTTTGAGCCTATGCTTCGTGTTGAGGGTTAGTTTTTTTTTTTTTTTTTCTTCTTTACTTCTCGTACACTTTTTCTATTTATATCAGTTCTCTAATCATGATAGTTACTGTTGATTGATTACATATTATGGAATCCTTTTTTAAGTGTATTTGTTGATAGATGGAACATTACCAGTTGCAGGAATCAGCCGAGAGTTTCGTGTTGTGAGAGACAATAGAATAAATCAAAATGCAAATGGAGAGATGAAGCCTCCCTCAATGCAATGTTCAACATCCACCAATGATCAAGCGATCTCAAACGACAAGGGGTATGTTTATTAATCCTTTGTTTTAATCTACTGTTAATGTTTCTGTTTATATGTATTCACCATCGTTGTTATGCTCTTAAATTTTCTGAAAATATTTCTGCGTGTTAGATATATTATTAAATACATAATAAAGTTTCGATTAGCTAATCAATCAACTGCTGCTATAGCTTTTTGTTCACAGCCATTGTATTAGTATCTGATTTAAAGGTCTCTTTACTGAATGTAAATTCCGTTGTACTAGTATCTGATTTAAAGGTGTCTCTTTAATGAATGTAAATTTTGGTTGAGTGGCAATACTTATTCTTGGTGGGAATACCTTGCTCCTGATAATGATAGCAACTGAATGAATACTTTCCTACAGGATCGGGAAAATTATGGAGAAAAAGTAATACAGAAATGCTAGTTCAATCAATTAACAACAGAATGGAGGGCATTGATGTGATTTATTGCTATGGATTGCCATTCAAGTTAGCTAAGCATTTAATTGAGTAATATGAATTATGAAAAACAAAACTATGAAAAGTTTATAGAAAGCTATATTTGGTGATACAATTTTTTTGTAAGAAAACCCCTTCTGGGATGTTTTGGATTTTACCAAGGAAGCCTGGACTGAGCACGGAATTAATGGAATTTGAAGATATAGGATGAGAAGAAATTTAATATGATCTGAAAAAGTAAATATATATAAAACAAAGAATATACGGGAAGAAAGCACGTGACTTTTTTTTTGTCATCATTTTGAACTTTTTATATATTTTTTATGTAGATCCTATACACAGGCTTCTTTAGTGCGGAAGTAACCCTGTATTCTCAATTTTGGTATTTCATATGCATTCCTAGGTTTTTCACACCCACCCTGGTTTGTATGACTAATTAGTTCAGTCTTGTGGCGTATCATGGCTTCAGTAAAGTTTTCATTACTTTATAAGAATGTTTCCACTTGGAACTTCTCGCTTTCCTAGTTTTTTCAAATCCACTGCAGTGTCCTCAACTCTGCCGATATTTTTGTTATATATTAAACTTTTCTTGTCATTAGATGTTGTTTGGTCCATTATTTTCATATGGATGAATACATAGACTATTGCAATGAGCATATCTCCCTGAGCTCCCAGTTTTCTCTTCTTTATTCTGCCTTTGCACTTTGTCTGATATTATGGTAATTTTATATAGAGATGAAGCTGATGCCTTATTTTTGCTGTACCATTTATAATTTTTGGTTGGCAACTTTTGAACATGTTATGCATTCTATCATAGACAATTAAATTCTTTGGCCTTATCAGGAGCTCAACACGGACTTCTAGCAATCAGAAGGCATATGACGGGCGTTATTCATCTCAAGCTGGAAATGGGCCAGTTGGTTCACACCCTAGACAAGCACGGGATGCTAATTCCAGTGGCAGTTCCAAGAAAGAATCATTGGAGGCAAGGCAAGCATCGGTTCCTAACACTGTTTCCCATGTGCAGGCAGTGAAGCCAAACAATTCTCAACCACCTTCTGCAACACTTGCATCAAACAATTCCGTAGTAGGGGTGTATTCATCTTCTTCAGATCCTGTTCATGTGCCATCTCCTGATTCCAAATCAGCTTCAACAGTCGGAGCTATTAAGCGTGAAGTTGGGGTGGTGGGTGTTCGCCAGCAGCAGTCTTCTGAAAATTCGCTCAAACCATCTGTGCAGAGCTCAAATTCACATTTGGGAAGGGATGGTTCTTCTAGGGAATCATTTCGACATTTTACTGCCATTTCTAAGAGCAGCCAACCCAGTCAAGCTACTGTATCTGAATCTATTGTACCCAACATGTCGGTTGGCAGACCTTTCTTGAGCAATCAGTATAATAGCAGATCGCATCAGCAACCTTTGGGTCATCAGAAAGGTAGCCTGTTGTCAAAGTTGATTTAAATACAATCCTATTGATATGGGAAATATTATCGTCCGTTATAACTACAGTTAGTTACTGTCTGGTTGTCTAGATCACAATATTGATGATTGAGTTGGTAATATACTGTTTTGGTAGGATTAATTTTGAAGCCTTAGTGGCATAATTCAAGCTGTTTAGTGTGTGCATTTTTTTTTTTTTAGAATTTGTGTTCAAGAAATGTAAGATGAGCTCATTTTTCTGTGTAACCCACCAAAATTAAAATTTCATTCTAATTTATGCATTACAATTGTTATCTTCTCTTCCAGGGAAGTTAAAATGTATTTGGAATACATGCCTAACCATTTTTTTAGCAACTAGCCTAAAAACCAAACATTAGATAAGAAGCACATGTACTTATTGAACTTTGACGATATAACATTTTCTCATTATGATGCATTTACAAGTTCATGGACATGTAAAAACCACCTTCAAGCTTTGAAAAAATATTTTTGGGTGCTATTAGTATTTTTCCTGATAGGTCATTGCTTATAAATATTGTTTTTCCGATTGCTGTATTATTCAGGTATTTTAAAGGATTTTTCATTTTTTGTTAAGCGTTTCTTGGATTATTTTTTAACTTAGAAACATCATGTTTATTTACTCAAAGTTTGTTTTTCTTTTTGATTTTATTGTATTGTGTGTCTGGGCACTGTGCGTTGTGGCTATCTGTAAATCAGTTAGTTCTTGTCAATATTTTTATAAAAAAAAGAATATGTTTTTACAATATTGACTTCCTATTTATGCTTATAGCTTCTAAATCCAGTTGAACATACGCTTTTAATGCAGCTTCCCAGCCCAATAAGGAGTGGAAACCAAAGTCCAGCCAAAAATCAAGCCTTAATGGCCCTGGGGTTATTGGAACGCCTGCAAAATCTGTTCCACCACCTCCTGTCGTCAATCCTAAGGATTTGGAAAGGGAAGCAGCTCAGTTACAAGATATACTGTCGCGAGCAAACAATAATGAGAACCAGAATGTAATCATTGCAGAGCATATTCGGGTTGCTGAGACCGACCGCTGTCAGCTCACCTTTGGCAGCTTTGGGCCAGATCTTGATTCTTCCATGAATATTATATCAGGTTCCCTGGCAGGCGGAAGTGCCGAAGATCCTTCCGTGGAACATTTTACAAGGTTGGTTTACACATGACTAATATTTGTTTGTTTTTGATTGGTAATACTGCTAATGCAGGAAATTTTTAGGTTTTTGATTCTAATCATTAATCGGATATGCAGGAATAGTTTAATCATTGAATATATGCATCAAAAAGTTCATGCATCTATGATTAGCTTTCATGTTGTCCACTTTCTTAACATTGGATATCAATTTAAGGTTATAGTTTGGTACAATGGTCTTGACGATGCAAGTCAGTTTGCTGTTGGAGTTGTGTAGAAAAGCCTAAATAGAATATTTGCAGTTCTGGTCTATCGGAATTATTTCCCCCCACTTTTCTCGTGCATGTAAATTTCAAATTATCTGCAGTTTTCATAGTGAAGAAGCATTACTCTCTTTAAAGAACTTAATAGTTATTATCTGAATAATATGAATTACAGCTTGTCGAAGTCCGCCCCCGAGTCTTCCAGTGATGAAACTTCTGGCATCAAGCATGTAGATTCACTAGATGATCAAGTTCGAAATTCTGAATCTATTTCTCCAGCGTCAGGTGCAGTATCTGAAAATCAAGTACCTGAGTCTTCGAGTCCCCAGGATCTAGACAATTATGAAGATATAGGTTTGGTTCGTGACAACAGCCCATCCTACACTCCTTCAGAGTCACAACAGCAGCGAGATCATCATGAATTACCAAGTTTCTCAGTAAGTATAGTGTACTCATACTTATGAATAACCTGCTAAACTTTGTCGCTTGATTAACGAGTGTTGAACTGGTGTTTGGTTGGCCTTTGACATTTGTTAAGTGATAACTAGTTCCTCCCAAATGAAAATAATTATGGCATAGCTTTCTTTGACCTCTTATCAGACTTCCTTACTTTTTCTGATTTATGAGCAGGCATATGATCCCCAGACTGGTTATGATTTTCCTTATCTCAGACCTCCAATGGATGAAACTATTCGAGGACAGGGTCTTCCATCTCCTCAAGAGGTAAAGTTGAATGCTATAATAATCTTTTTTATGTTAAAATTAGTATGCAGCTTCTCTTTCGTGTGCATGAAATGTGGTTACACAAACATACATGTAGTGCCCATTGGCGTTTTTTTTGGACAGACTGAAAATGCTTTTAATTTGAAAATTCTCTTAGTTGTGTTTGGATAAGAAAAAAAGAAGCTTTAGCCAAAGTTCAAATTTGAAGCTTTTTGCAAGTAGAGGTAAAAAAAAATAAAACGAGTCTATTTATGGAAAAAGAATAGTTATAAGTGGTGCTTACATTCCGAATCTCCAAACACTGTTTGATCTTTTAGACAACATTTTTTTGACAGCTCTACATAAAAAGTGCTTGTTATAAGTTGCAACAATGCCAAATGGGACCCTAGTAGAATACCTGTCTGAAAAAAATAATATGTTAAATAGCAGAATTTTGGATGCAAGGTTACTTTCTGCACATGAAATGTTCTACCAAAGTGCAAAACTAAATATTATTGTTTTTGCCCTTTGCATTGTGCACCAATTGTGCTGAGTTCTGTGTGATTATTTGAATGGGTCTACTTTGGACAACATTATTTTAGTACTACATTATTGACTTCCATCAAATCCGTATGTATATTTTAATGATTCCTCTTGTTCACAGGCCTTGAGTTCACATGCATCCAGCAACATCCCTGCATCTTCAATTGCCATGTTACAACAGCAACAACAACCAGTTGCACAAATGTATCCCCAAGTTCATGTTTCCCATTTTGCTAATCTCATGCCGTACCGTCAGTTCATCTCCCCTGTTTATGTTCCACCAATGCCCATGCCTGGCTATTCTAGTAACCCTACCTATACTCACCCCTCAAGTGGCAACAGTTATCTGCTGATGCCTGGAGGTAGCTCCCACCTTAGTGCAAATGGCATTAAGTATGGAATTCAGCAGTTCAAGCATGTTCCAGCTGGCAGTCCCACAGGGTTTGGAAATTTCACTAGTCCGAATGGGTATGCCATCAATGCTCCAGGTGTTGTTGGCGGTGCGACAGGTATTGAGGATTCATCTAGGCTCAAGTACAAAGATGGGAATATTTATGTTCCAAATCAACAGGTAAAGTTAGCAGTATCTTATTCTGTGGCTTAAATAATTTTATTTTTTTGGCTTGGGTTTCAGATTGTCTCACTCTATCCGTGTGATTTTGTGATGAGCACTGGTTCCAAGAATGAAGTTTGGGGGCCTGTGCGACTGTAGTTGCTCAATATATAAGTTGATTAGGAAAACAGTTGGATATGGGGCAATATTTAGAGATACCACCTTCACAGCTCCATCTAATAAAGAAAAACATCATATTTGTATTAGGCTATGAACCTATGCTACTGATGCTAATTGCCTTCTAACCTCTTAGAAGATCTTCTTAGATCTGAGTAAATTTAGTTGCATGTAATTGATCCTGGCTTGTTTTATTTTGATCAGAACAAAATAGTTCACTAATTTAGTTGCCCGTGCCAGTGATACTGAAATAAGTTATTGTCTAACATTAAGAAAAAAAATTGTATATGATAATAATAGTTCCAGCTGATCTATTGTAGATTTACTCCACTTTCTTGCCATTTGGTACGATGGAAGAAGATATTTAGGGTATTTACACGGTCCTCCCTGGCAATTAGTGAAATTACATGGACCTTTCCCACGATTAGCGAAATTACATGTATCTCCCTTGTGTTATAAACATTACACTAATTTGCCTCATCAGAGATGTCTGTTGTTGGTCTGTTTTTAACTAAATACCCTCTATATTAGCATATTAATTTAATAGAAATTTCAATGTATAACAAAATTTTCTATACCCATACAATATACATAATCATATATGTTACTTCTATTATTCTCTGACAATGGCCACTTCTCTGTCACCGGCCACCTTTTGCCGCCTTATGCCACTAACATATGCCCCTCTCTCTTCTCTCCCCCAATGGCTTTAGAGAGAGAGAGGTGCAAATGGAGTATGTGTATACTCGAAGAAGATTGTGTGAATAGAGAGAAATCTGTCTAGATTTTATGAGAATTTTATAAAGAATTTTAAAGGGGGGGAGTTTGAGGGAGAATGGCTTGTAAGAGAAAATCAAGTGTTTGAATGTATAATAGTCTTTCAATAAAAGAAGTAATAAAGTAAGGGACAGAAACACCATTTGAAATCATTTAATGAGGGTTATGTTGTCTAAACAGTCATCTTAAGGGTAAATTTTATTTTGCTCATATAAGAAAATACTGTCATTGATTAATGATGACAATTAATGGAAGTTGGTTCAGTTCGTTTGGAAGTTTTCATTACGCTAGATTTAGGTGCTGGTGGAGAGTCTGATGATGAAGCTTTTAGGGATTTCTTCTTTGTCCAACTTCAAAGCCAAATCGGCGAGAGTAATTTGAAGAAACATGAGGGTATCGTGTTTAATTTGACTCACCTCCCCACAAATTTGAACCGTGTATTGAAAGTTAGGAATCTTCAATTTTCCTCTTTGTTGATTGCATTTTAAGCTGGGTTTGTGTGAAGCTTACATTGCTAGATTTATTTATTTCAACCGACAGGCTGAGACATCAGAAATTTGGATTCAGAACCCAAGGGAGCTTCCTGGTATGCAATCTGCTTCATACTACAACATGCCTGGGCAAACGCCGCACGCTGCTTATATGCCATCCCATACTGGTCATGCTTCCTTCAATGCAGCTGCTGCTGCTGCACAATCTTCTCATATGCAGTTCCCAGGCTTGTATCACTCTCCTCCCCAGCCCGCTGCATTAGCAAATCCCCACCATTTGGGCCCTGCCTTGGGTGGCAATGTTGGTGTGGCTGCAGCGGCTCCTGGTGCCCAAGTTGGTGCTTATCAGCAACCTCAGCTGGGTCATCTCAATTGGACAACAAACTTCTGAAATAATGTCAATCTGAGTTCTTCACAAGGGAATGAGGTTAGCTATAGAAGTTTTTAGTTTACTTTGTGAATGGAAAACACTAATCTTTTTTAATTAATGCATCCAGTTGTTTTTAAATTACTGTTTGGCAAAAGATCTTAAGGATAAACGTAGTAAGTGTGTTCTCTGCTTGGATGAACTCCACACTATCCCCTGAACTCCACACCAAACCAGTTTGCTGCAAACACCAATTCTGAAGAATGTTTGTGTTATCTTGGGTGGTTGTCTAGGTCCGTGAATAACCTCGTGATATTAGTGCGTGCCTAATTTTGAACTCTAGAGTCAGGAACCCACGATGATTAGATCTATTACACCTAAATTCGAGGCTTAGAAGCATAGTTATTGGTAAAAAAAACATAGAAAGCTGTGAAAGAGGAGGGAAGGAAGGCACTTCCTTTTGAGTGCATGGTCCACTATATTGCTTTTCTTCAAAAGCGAGAGGGAATGAGGAAATTCTTTTTCATTTCTTATATTTTTCTATCAAACAAGATGTTCCCTTTTAAAATGAAAGGATTTTTTCCCCCCAAATAAAAGGAAGTGGAAAACACACATTTCTTTCTCCGGGAATACAGTCTACGTTCCTTTTATTATTTAATTGGTTTACTTCTGTAACTTGTTCGAACTGTGGAAGTCAGCTGCATTTTTATTTGGCTTGTGCTAGAATGAAAAGGCAAAATATTAGCTGTTACTAGGGAGAGTTAGTACCCTCGTCACAAAATTAATCAACTAATCAACGGGTATCAGTTTTATTACCTTTTTTCTTAGTTAACCAAACAAGATGAGTCCACACTATCCTTGGTCCACATTAATATATATATATATATATATATATATATATATATATATATATATATAATTTTTTTCCTTTTTTTATCTCAAAAGTGGGCAGTACCGTGTATAGGGATGTGTCAAGTCTAATGGGATAGTGGACTATAGCCTAAATCCACCAAGAGTATATTTTGATACACTTTCTTTTGTGGGATGATGGTAGTGGGGAATTAGTGAAGAGCTTTACTTTTTTGTCATGGCACATCAATGCATATCTAGTTGCAATTTTGGGTCCCCAAATTGGTCTCTCCATGATCTGAATGGAATATCTTCTTTTCCCCATTAGTTTAGAAAGGGATCCATCAGGCCTTCCTAATTAATCTTCATTTTCGTAGACGACTTTGTTGAACTTGATGTGTATGTACCTTTTGAGAGATTGGTATATTTAATATTATATATATATATTTGATATTATATAGAATTTTCGTGTTTCACGAGGAAAGAAAGATGGAAAGGAGTGCATGTGTCCCTGTGAGGTATGGGAAATAGAAGGGATAGGCTTGCCAAGCGAACATTGCTTTTGTTGAGGCTTTTGCTCTAATTTTAAATCTTTAGTATAATCTTACTTTTTAGTTTTCACGTACTTCACACACATGTTGTCCTAATCCTTTCTCAATTCTATTAAATCTCATCTGCTTTGTTTATAATTTTATGGTTATCAACTCTCTCTCTAAGCCACAAGGACAATCATTGTGCATGTAAGCATCAATCTCTATAGGTAAGTTGTGGACCTATAAAAATTAGAAGTCGCCTATCTGGGCTATCTATCTTAACAAAGCCAAAAAATGTCAAATCTAATTTACTAGAACTGTCTTACTTATCAAAAAAAAAAAAAATTTAATTGAACTGTCTTTGTATTGTCTCTGTTAATTGTGTGTGTTGACTGGATGTGGACATAACATTTGGCGTTATTATATTTACACCGCTTGAATGTGAGTGTGTTAGTATTTAAATTCGTCGGTAAAATATTTTAGCACTAAGAGAACAAATGGATTTTAATTACATATAAACGGAGACTTTAGCAGGGTTTTTTAACAGAAATATCGATGGATTAATGGTTGATATAATTATTTATCAAGGAATATTTTCATTGCAAACACTACAGTACCTCTCTTGTGATATTCCGATGGGAAATGAAATTGGTTGGTATAAATGGATATGTATACAATATTGCTCAATAGTTTAAGCTTTTGAGTCAGGGATTGGTATCAGAGTCGTGTTCAGTTCTTGATCCGGTCCGGTTTCATGCCATGCGCCCAGCCCGGAGGTGTCCCAAATTGGATCCAAATGAGAAATGAAATGAATATAACTGGTTGATAATGTTATATTAGCTAATGGTTTAAGTTTTTGGGTCAGGGCAAGTATTCGCCAACATTTGTCATCATTTTAAGCATTACTTGTACGATGATTCTCTCCAATTCATCTCCCACTTGGATCCTAGGTACTCATTAGTTTTTCAAGACCGCAGGCCAACATTATTGGCTTCTTTGTTTATAAAATTGTTACAGCAACTATCATTATATTGGTTTACTTGCCGGGGAAAAAAAAGGTTCATTGAAAGGGTTTTTATTTTTCTTTTTTGATTGAATTTGAACCAAACCAAACCAATGGAGCATTTTAAGCGGAGTAAATCACAATCACATGTTAATGATTTATTTTGGGTTCAATTTATTTAAAAATAAAGTGAAATATTAAACAAGCCTGACCCTAAAATAAGCCTTTTTCAACGCAATTGATTAGCAATTTGAATTTTTAATCTGATCTGACAACCAAATCTGATATGCTGTAAGCTGGGTATGAGCCAATCCCAATCTGTTAAAAGGTGCAAGTTTTGTTAAAAAAATTTAAGGTGAAAAGGTATCAACAAATAATGCTTAAAAATAAGTTGTAGAAGCATATAAGGTGTTCGTCTCTTGGTTAAAAAATTATAATAATTAGCTGAAAAAAAATGTGTTCGTCTCTTGTTTAAAAAAAATAATAACAATTAACTCCAAAAAAAAAAAAAATGGAAGTACATGTTATATAACATATCAAATATAGTTACAACATGATATATATTGGTGATACTATCAAATTTAATTTGTTTTCACAAAACTTCTTCCGTCCTAAAATATTTGAGTACTATGGGAATTAATTATACTTTATGAGTAACAGTTTTCAAAATATCCAACTATATATCAAAAGTAACGTACCCGTTATTCATTCAACTGAACTATAATTCTTGGTTTGAATCACCACTTGAACAAGAAGTTCACTTTGTGCCCCTGTTGTTTCATACAAACTCGATTACATTACTAAACAGTAATACAAGACTATTAGAGCAACTCCATCGGTGGCTTCTTTGGCGAAAGTGGCCGAATCTTTGAAGATGCAATGCTCCAATGACATATGGGAAAAGTGGGCCCCATAAAGAGGCTCTTGATCCAAGTCGCCAGAAACCAAGATTGGGTTGGCGATGGCGGACTCGCATCATATATATATATATTTTTATTTTTTAAATTCTGGCCCAAACAGTGTTTTAGCTTAGAACACTATTTGGTAAGGCATGTTTGGCTGACAAAAAAAAACGAAAAAATCAATTTTTTGGCTGATTTTGGTCTGTTTTTTTTTCCCCTCAAAATAATTGAACCAAATAACTAACTGTAGGCCTTTTTTGGGCAAAAAAAAGTTAAAAAAAATAGATAAAAGTGCTTTTTTTTTTTTCTATAAAAAAAATATTACTTTTTAAAATATTCCTAGTGACATATTGCCATTTTAGGTATTGATTTTCTCAGTTGTTATGTTTTTAATTTATGTCGTATTGTATTGTTTTTAATAATAAATATTGTATTGTTTAAATTTTTTTATTATATAACTGTCTTAAAAATATAGTTGTTAGGAAAAAGTTAAAAAATAAAATTTATAAAAAATATTAAAATATTAATATTTTTAGAGAGCCAAAATACACCATAGCTAAAATTTGGAGAATGTTAATTTGGCAAATTGGAATAGCCTAAATTCGAGGGTGCTCTTACATTAGTGTAATGATTGATCCGGAGATCCAAGTCAGCATGATGACTGGACAATGAAGCTAACTAACTTGCCACCTAATCATTGCCAACCTAACACTCTGTCCAGCTAGGACCAACCTCCACTCGTCTGCTGATTAAAGAAAGAGAGACGCAGAACACACCATCTCTCCTAACTTGGCTCACTCCTTACGCGTGACCTCTTGCTTTCATTATTCTCTCTCTCTAAAACACTTGGTTTCTCTCTCTACACCATCAAACACAAATCAATGGCTGTCTCCTCTGTACCCTTCACACTCGCTGCATCCACTCCTACCCAAACACAAGAAGGTTCCCTCTGTTAAAATGTCTCTGCAACTCTTCCCTATCACTCCTTTCTCATGATTCTCTTTACTACTCTCTCTTTTTTCAGCTTTTGACACTCTCAAAGCAGACAATAAAGCCACCCAATCTCTTTCCAAACCCTTCTTGTGTTCCTCAATACTTTTACTATTCTCTTCTCGATCTTCGTTCCCTATAATTCATCACATTTAATATATATATATATATATATGAAGTGATGGATAGGTTCGTTCAATATCGAAGCGAAAGAGAACGCCCATCCTTTTCATCAACACTTCTCGACTCGATCTATCGTTCCATCGACGACGACGAAGAAGAGCTGGTCCTTCACAGAGAAACAATGAGGAAGAAACAGAGTAATTGCAGAGTAAAGGCAACTAAAGGTGGTTTTGATGACGACGAAGAAGAGAGAGCTAATCTGCGACGGGTTTGTATGATCGAGAAGTGGATGGAGAAGAAGGTGAGCGACAAGGTCGTCGTCGTTCAACGGAAGTCACGAAAAGATCGTGAATCGTCGTTGCTCAATTCGAGCTCGACCTCTTCAGATTCTAGCTATGAAGCTGTGTATGTAGCTCCATCGAAATCGTCTGGTTTTGCTACATACAGGCCGAAACCTATTCGAACAAGCGGTTCCATTCAGAAGGAGGAATTCAAAGCATTTGATAATTATCATCAACAACAGAACAACAAAGGCGGCAATTTCGTGAAGAAGACGAAGTCGAGAACCGGCGATCTGAAAAAGCCGAAGCAACCGATCTCGCCGGGCGGTCGGATTGTGAGCTTTCTCAACTCTCTCTTCACCGCCGGAAACTCAAAGAAGGCGAAGATCTCATCCTCCGCCGGAGACTACTATGCGAAACAATCAGACACTGTTCCTACATCGACTTGCTCATCAACTACTTCGTTTTCACGATCATGTCTGAGTAATAGTAATACTCCATCTTCGAGAGTGAAATCAAGCAATGACACGAAGAGGTCGGTGAGGTTTCATCCTATTAGTGTGATCGTGGACGAAGATTCTCAACCATGTGGACACAAATCTCTGCATGGACACGGATCGAGTTTGGAAACGGTGAAAAGCGTTCGAAACTCCATCAACGAAGAGCTTCGATTGCGTGTTATGGAGAAACACAGGCGAGTTGAAGAAGTTGCCAGAGATTTACTGAGGAATTATCAGAACAAGGTCCATGTAGATTCAAACAATGACAATGAAGACGACGACGATGATGGTGCCAGTTGTGCGAGCTCTGATCTGTTCGAGCTCGATAATCTTGCTGCGATTGGAATGGATAGGTATAGCGAAGAACTGCCTGTGTATGAAACGACTCATTTCGATACGAATCGAGCTATTGCTAATGGCTTGATGTGTAATTGAATTATAGTTATAGGTTTTGGGGTGTCATTAAGACTAATAAATAATTTTCCCTTTTTTTTTTCTTTTTTCTTTTTTTTTTTTTTAATTTTTATCAGCTCTTTTATCAATCTATTCCATGCAAATGAATCCAAGTTATGCAATTGTTCAAGAAAAGCTCGGATTTTGGTACTGAGTTTATTCTTCCTCTCAAATGAGTTCCGGTATTGGAATAAAAATTGTTATGTTTAGTAACATGAATTGGTGTGTTGAAATTAATATTAAAGAAAAATTAGTGGAAATTTGAGAAAAAAATGTTACTCATTAAAACATTTTGGTACATGTCAAAATATATATATATATTTTTGGCTATTCACTGTTATACAGTATCCAACAATAACACAAAAAATAAAACACATACTAATCCGACCTAATTTTTTAAATTTGATTTGAATGGAGTCCAACACGAAGTTTGAAGAACGTACCGCACTGTTTTGATGCCAAGCACAAAATCCTATTCAGCTAACGAGAAAATCAAAGCAACTGTGCTATTCAGCTAACGAGAAAATCAAAGCAATCCTTGAATATATATATATATATATATATATATATTTTATAGTAAAAATAGTTTATAACACTTGTGATTAAAGAAGCTTTGTGATGGCCCTTTTTTTTTTTTTTAATTTCTAAAAGAAATGGTTTTTATGGATTTTCTATAATTATATTCTAATTTTAGAGTCCTTAAAAATGATTTGGAGAAAACTGATAATAACAAAGTGTGATAATGACAAGTGAGAGAAAAGTGAGAGTAAAGATGAAGGAACTGAAAATTTGAATTGACATTCTCACGGAAATATGGACGAGTGAATGCAAATTAAAGAAGTCACATTGTCTTCCCTCTCCCTTTCATTCATGAGAAAGCGGAGAGAAAGTCCCTTTTTTTTTTTTTTTTTTTTTTTTTTTTTTTTTTTTTTTTTACGGGAACTTTTTTGCTTCAAATGGGCACCCACCGTGGAAATTATTACATAGTTCGGGACTAGGCTAATCAATAATTGTCATCGAAAGACTTTCAAACTCACAAATGTAGGTATATTGCACCGGAGTAATTATTATATTTATATAGCATCTATTTTGTCAAAATGCATGTAAATATGTTGCAGATATGTTCAGAGTATGGAATTAATATTTTGAAATTAAAATTAAATTTTTTTTTATAGTAAATCTAGAGTCGACCGCAAGCTAACTCGACTTGTTTACATTTTTCATATAAAAATAAAGAAGGAAAAGGGAGGATAAAGAATAAATGGTAGCCTCCAAAAGCTTTCTCCATTTTTTCTAAAATTTGAATGTTGTTAGGAGGTGAAGACTCCTCCATATTGTTTTATCTATCTACAATTTTTTTTTTTTTTGGTTTTCGGAAGGGATATCTATCTACACTTTTGAAAAAGAATGACATCAATGTAAGAGAAGGTTTAGGAGGACCTCTTAATCATAACACTGTGATTATGTCAATTTAGTGATCATATCATATGCTTAACTGGCATACTTTATACAAAATTCTAAAGTACAGTCAGTACTATATATATATATATATATATATTAAGCTTGAACTATAGGAGAAGAAAAGACTATCCTGTATATTGATTATAGTCAAACTTGTAGGCTTAGAATGGTATAATTAAAATCAGCACATTTTAGGTCGGTTTACACTTTACAGACGTGACATAACTTTTGAATTGTATTATATATATATATATATAACCCATTGGCAACAAAGTTACTAATTTTTAGACTCAATCCCTATGTCTCCAAATTTCTTGGTCCAACTTTTTAGAATTAGAGTACAGTAATATCCCTTATCTATACATTTATGTATAAATATACACTAGGGACTTTAATTTTGTCAATGAAAAAGGACTTTATCTTAGTTGCGTCTGAAGTCTGATCGAACTTTGGCCTTCCAAATTAAATATACACTTGATCCACTTCACGTGAAAAATAAACTAAATTAATGCAGATTATATAGATATATATATATATATATATATATATATATATATATATTATATGTATATAAAAAATATGATGCAAAAGCATATAATTTGGTGATGGCATGCCTGTTAGGTGGGACTCATTGCGGCGTGAGTCCACATCCCACTGAAGGTTCAAACACCATTCTTTTATTAATCATGAGCTTAATCTCCCCCTTATACAATATAAAGTTTTGTTGCACTTAAATGACATGGTTTGTAAGCAATCATGCAGTTTATGGGTGACAATAAAACTCAATCCATGAGTCATTGGACGGTTAATTATATGGGATTAACGCAAAACTGATGATGAATGAGACATTAGAGGGCTCCAAAAAGAGGTGACACGGAGGTCTAAAAATACCACAAAAATTGTGGGTAATTAGTGTGTCACAAACTCACAATATGATCTTTCAGCTTTGTAGGGTTGAACTGTTTCTTGCGTTGGTTATCAAGTATATTGTGTGAAAGCTTTGGATGTGTCATGTACCAAGCATGCACAAGTTTTTGGAACAAATAGTGGTTTTGCAAGTATACAATACAACCCATTTATGTGGATTATTCAATGTAGGACCAGTTCGACCCCCCCCCCCCCCACACACACACGGTTTGATAATTGGTTCAACCTCTTTATGATCAGTTGTCCTTGCAGAAGGGTGCTTGTTGGGTCAAATATACATTGCACTAATCTACATTATATATAGAGCTATCACTATGTATATATAATTATATATCAAACTTAATTTTGCTAAACCTTGTTTTCTTGCTCCACATTCCTCTCCTCAGAATAAAGAACATATATATCAAACTCGACTTGTCATTCTCTTCTTCTCATGGACATAAATTTTTTGGCCTTTGTTTAAGACATCTAGTACAACTAAAATACATTACAGCATGCATGTGATATGTTTTATTAGGTTATTTTGGGTGGGTTGGGTTTCAACTTTAAACGTATTCCTTATTTTATTTTGTGTGACCTAAGGTAAAACTTAGCGCCAGTCCTCATATTTTCAAAATTTTGAGAGGTTCTAGGTGAACTTTTAAATGCGAATCCCTAAATTTGAGGCCCTTTCAAATTAGAGACCCAGGGTGTAATAAACTCTCTGAGACTAACTCGTTAAGTAAATGAGACGAATAATGAGTAAGGCTCTTATACTAACTTATTATTAAGTAGATCTCATAACTGTTAGAACTTGTAAAATAAATTTTAATTTAATGTTCAAGTTCAAGCTCAAAAAAAAAAAAAAAAAAAAAAAAAAAAAAAAAACATGAGTTTGAACTTAAAATTAGTTAAATGTGAATCAAATGATCCGAGCCCGAGCTTGAAAAACACCAATTGGGTAAACCCGAACACTTATTTGTAGTGTGGTTACAATTATAGAGAAAGCAACAGCAAAGGAATTTTGTCTTTGGCTTTGAGTGAATAGGTGAAGTGGGTAGGTGGTTTATCAAGAAATCACATCAAATTTAGATGTCCAAGGAAATTGAATTTTAATCTGATTGATGATGGTCAAGAAAATGCACAGCGTCTAAGACCATCACTGTCCGTGAAACTGTGAAAGTGGTTCAAACATGGTTTTGCATACAACGCCAAATTAAAATGAAAATGAAAGCATTTTAATTGTTTCGAAATGAGAGGAAAATATTTTTTGTTTTTAGTTGTAGTATTAATGTTCGTACTTTTAGTAACCATCTGATAGAGATTGCTACTTCTGTTGATTGGACCAAAACCAAAACTACGTTGAATAAAAATGCCGACAGAATTGGAAATATTAGACCTTTGCATGGAAATGGAGGGTTATGGCCACAATCAGTTCCACTGTCGATTTCTATATATATATATATATATGTTGAAGTTTAGGTACAAATCTTAATCTCATAAATATGTAAGTTGACATTTTATCTATGTTTCTCCGGGTTCTAAGACCCGCTGTATACTTGTATTGAGTAGTAGTCTCTCTCCTTTCCACCTCTTCCTCCCGCCCATCAAACTTCCTTAGAGTCGATTGATGCAAGAATGAATGAGGAGGCTGATCTATCCCCCAGCCAGATCCAACAAAGATAGGGGCAAGGTTTACCAGTTTGAAACCCTATCAATGAACTAAGCTACTAAACAATTCCACCTGGTTGGCGTCAGGTTACTATGACAAAATTTAAATGTTTGACTAGTAAGCATGCTAGTACATAGTTTTCTTCCTACTGTGTTTGACGGTATGAAATTGAAGTTTTAAAATTGAAAGTGATGGGATTGGAGAAAATTTTGATTCAATTTTATGAATTGCTTTTCTCCAATTTCAATTCCAAAAATCTAATTTTATGTCAAATAAATCCGAACTTTTTTTAGAGCTCGGATTAAAGTGACAAAAGTAAGAATGTCGAATCCTAACAAACAACTTTTGTAAAATAATTTTTGAATCAATTCAAAATATCTTTTTTTCTCTATTACGCGAACTAAAATTACATAATTTTTTTAAACGATTACTACTTTTATGCTCTGCACTTGCTTCGTTAGACTTAAGAAGAATTATGTGACTGTAATTTGCGTGCTGCGATTCTCTTCTTTAGTTTCAAATTTTCAATAGTTGATAGCTTGCCTGCAAATTGAGTATACATTCGGTAAATTGGGCATGTCACATTATTATGTAAATGAGACCACACTTTCATTGTAGAGTGAATTTTATTTGGTTGGTAAGCCTGGCTCACCCGATATCTTAATCAAATTTGATTGATGTTGTGCCCTAATTATATTGATGCTCCATTGCTCCCTGCCCTGTTAAGTCATTTCTTCTTGGATCAAGGGTTTTGAACTCAGTTGGGCTTTTGTTGGACTTATTTGTCTTCAAACTTCATTCTGTTGGGCTCATCCTTTGTTGTTGATTATTTGTTGGTCATGTTTTTTGGCCCAACGCTTTTCTGTTGGTTTAGTTTGTTCCTTTTTGGTGGTATGCCCCTTTGTACAATTACATATATGTTTTTTTTTTGAAAGTTATTTTCTGAAAGTCACTGCTTTCAGCAAAATGTTTCTGAAAGTTGTTCTTTGGAAATTTAATTACAAAAATTAATTATTTTTAGAGAGCTGTAATAATAATTTTCTATTTTTTAAAATTTTTGAAAACAATTTTCTGTACGTTTAGAAAATGGATTGCTCCTGTGTGGGGCAAATTCTACTGTTGATGAGGGAAAAAAATAAAAAAAACATCATTTACCAAGTTGAGGAGTCTGAAATTTAGAACCAATTTGAATCAAATTGTGAGATACAATTTATATGTAGGTTTTTTGAGTTTGTAAATAAGTAATAATTTTAGGGGTATTTAAGGAAAGATACTTGCACCTCAGCGTTATCTTCTTTCGCGGTTCAGAAAGAAACGGTTGGACGAAAGACGAAGAGGAATATGTATCAGTTGTGAAGGTAGAGTCCATCAATGGCGGCACGTTCTCTCTCATTAACTTTCTCTCTCTACACTTCTCTCATTCCTTCATCTCAAAAGTCACATTGCAGGCAGAATGCCTCTTTCACCTTCAATGTTGAAAAGCGTTCTCTCATATGCAAGAACAAACCCAGCTTCGTCGATCAAATTCTTGATTATATTGAAGGTGCATTCTTATTTTTCACACTTCTTCCTTGCTTTATATATACACAGACACACACACGGCTATATATATATATACATATATATATATATATATATGTGCTTCTTAATTTATTCTTTCATTTGGTATTGAAGCCAAATAGTTCCAGTTTGTGTAGTTAAATGACCACTTAATCTTCTTTTGCGGACACTTTTTGGCTTTATTATCTTTGTTATATGCATGTATACTCGTTTGATTTTTTGGCTATAAGGAAGATTTTTCATTAATGCCCAAAAATATTTTGAAGGGATTCGATACATCATATTTGAGATCATGATTTTCAATATAGATATTTTGATAGCAATCTTATTTTTGCGACAATTATAGCATTTCTACACTTTTACCTATGAAGTTAAAGAAGGGAAAGACAGAGCCTTTTTAAAAAATATATATATATGATGATGAATTAGGAGACTTACATTAAATAGATGACAAAAAATTGAAATTTGTGTTAGCATTTTGAGAATATTCTGAATATCTATATGTTAGGATGTTCGCTTTGGCACCCATTGAATCGAATCCCAACCACACTCGAGAAATGAGAAATATCTTGTTCTGATACTAGTTAGAAGTTAACTAACTACTCTATAAGTTTAAATATCAAGGAAATATTTTAGATAGTAACTTCGATAAAGGACCGTTGAGAAGTAAAGAGACGAAGTTAGTGGACGCTATCAAATTAAGAGGCTAAATATGGCGTGCCTTCGAGAAACTAATTGAGAGAGAGAGAATTTAGAACATTGAAAATAATAGGATTATAGCTCTTATTACATCGGAAATGATAAACTTAGAAAATGGGTTTGGAAAATAGCATATAAGATTTTAGAAGTATAATTCTTATTAGAAAATAGGTTAAGATGATAGTAGGATGATTCGTATTGGTTGAAAATATAATTAATGTGTAGGATTTGACAAACACATTAAAGCATGATATGGGTAACATATATAGAAATTAGCTCAATAAATTTCGGATGAGAGGAAATATATATAGGATGAGGCTTTCATGGTCACAAAAATGTTGTGGAGGATATGACGTGGTGCGTGGTATAACTATGGATTTGGAGGTAAAAATGATTTGGGAACTATCTTAGACTGTGTTGTGGCATATGATCTTTGTACATCAGATACCTACTTTAAAAAACGAGAGATTGACATTTGATAGCTTTTAGTTTGTGGATTAAATTGGAGTCAACTCGATTTTTTCCTATCTAGAAATGTACAGCAAATAATATGCAAGGACCGTATGGCTATTTCAAGAGAGAGCTAAACCTCACAACATAGATTGATGGTTTTAGATGTACATAATAAATGGCAAACAAGAAAGATTACAACTATTAAAAACCCAAGAATTAGATGGTGAAATTTGAAAGGATAAAAAGTACAACTATGTAATAGTAAGTTGTTAAAAAAAATAGTAATGCAAAATTTAGAGAATGAAACTATTGTAATGTGAATAAGATGGCAAGATATATAAAAAATATTTTTGTATCAACAGAGGTTCTTAGAGAATCAAAAGGAAAACAATCATTATCTAAAGAAACTTTGCTGATTGAATGAGAACTTTTAAAATGTAAATATATATATATATATATATATATATATATATATATATATGAATAAATAAATGCAGTGTTATTAAATTTGAAGCAGAAAAAAGATAGAAATGGACAAAGTTTTCCGGAAGTCATAAATATGTAAAGAAGTTAAAAATTTTGTAAGAGACATTAAGAATAAAGGTACAGTAAGAGTTTTATAATCAGAAGGTATTCCTTTTGAGGTTTGTAAGTTTTGGGGAATGCTGGTGTGTCTTGACTAATAACATATCTACATATATATATTTGATAAATCCGAGACCTTAACAGTTGAGAAAGTGCCTAATGAAGAAGTATTTTGGTATCTATATATAAAAATAAGAGGATATTCGGAGTTGTACAAAAAATCATGCTATTAAACTAATGAGACATTAGTCATACTATCAAACTTTGAAGGGTGATTGTCTACATTCTAAGAATTGAAAATACAAAGTTGGAAAACCAATATGGATTTATGTTCGAAAGATTAATAATGGAAGCTGGCTGAACCTATTCTTTTGGGATAAAGGCAAGAATGATGATGATGAGGTTAAGAATGAAAGCTATCAACTTATGGCAGAGATCAATAGAGAAAAAATATCTTTATACGGTCTCTATAAATTTTGAAAAATCCTGTGGATGATCCATATGAATTTATCATATGGGTTTTAGATAAGAAATGAGTCGAATATATATACACACAGAGACATTAGGACCCAACCCCTCTGCTTACCATCAAGCATTATGGCTTCTATTCTGATACTTGAGGATGAACATCATTCAGAATGCTGAAACTCAAATATTGATGGAAAGGGCCAAACCAGTTTCTCTAAAATCCCAAAACGTGTTTTCTGGATCTTATTCTGTGAGATCAAACATACTAAAGAATGTATATCAACCATCTTAGTACTAAACTGATCAACCAAACAAGTGATGCATGATAAATTCTCGATTTCATGTTTCATGCATTGTTGTACATTTGTAGGAGGTCCAAAGTTAAGGAAATGGTATGGGGCCCCTGATCTCCTTCCAAAAGATGGATCCATTTTGGAAGAAGATGATGAATCTCCAGGTACTTTGATATAGCAGTTTTATAAATGTTAATGTTTATGTTGCTTTAATTATCTGAATAATTATGTTCCCCTCCTTATGGGATGCAGGAGAAGATGAAGTCAGGGATGCAGTTTTAGTAACCGATGGAGATAGTGAGATTGGTCAGGTATATGTTATGTCATGGGCTCCATTTTTCTGCTAATAGTATATGTGGCCAAAATGGGGAAAGAAAAAAAACCTGTACTTTTCCAATTTAAATGACATGTCATTTGCACCATATGTGGGTCATGGTTGGATCCTACATGATTAAAGAAGTGTTTCTTATATATGCCATACCAAATTCCATTTTGATTCCTAGTCTTTCAAGTTCTAGATAAAGTGTTCTTGTTGTTGTGCAGATGGTAATATTGTCATTAATCGTCAAAAAAATTCGAATTAAAGCACTGGTGAAGGATAAGCGGGCTGCTATGGAAGCCTTTGGAACTTATGTTGAGGTGGGTAGTTTTATATTCTGAAAATCACTTATTTACATAGTCAATTAATATTTTTGTTAGGTGTTCTGTCTTGTGTTTCTCATATTGTGCACTGACGACAACATTCACTGTTTCATGGTCTTGGTGTTGTGGTCAAAGTCAATGGCTGGAGATGCAAATGATAGTTCATTCCTAATGAGGGCTTTAAGAGGTGTTCGTGCAATAATATGCTTAAATGTATGCATATCTGGACCTATCTTTCTTATTGTTTCTGTCCTTTCATTATCACCTATGCATACCTATTTTCCCACTAAGTGGCTGCTTTTATATGGAAAACTGCATTAAATAGGGCTGCAAAAGAACCAAACTGTTCAACAGTTGGGGTTCGGCTTGAGCTCGGTTAAGAAATGAGCCAAGCCCAAACACCCATGGCTTGCCTCGTTAGGAACGTATAAATGAATAGGTGTTCGTAAACAAGCTCGTTAAGGGTTGTGAAAGTGACATGTTTATTAGGATTTGTTTGGATTTATAAGTAATTTTTCACCTTATTAATCTTGGCCTCATGCTCAAGCTTGAACTTGAGATTGAACTCAAAGTTGGCCAAACGAGGAAAAACGATGTTTATTGCTCCTTTTTCTCTCTTATTCAAGGCACTCCTATCATCATGGCCACAAAGTATTTTAAAGCCATGCTTTTCTGCAGGAAGGTTTCCTGTCTAATATTGCGAGCTTGAAAGGGGTACAACATGTGATCCTATTATCTCAGGTATTCCCTCCGTTATTTAAGCATATCTGAGTACCTGCTACTTTAAATGATGCCTACTTGATATGACGGTTTAATAAGGTTGCAGTTGTCTGTTTATAGAGGTAGCAGTGGGATTCAAGCTCTCATGAATAGCAATGCAAGGAAACTGGCAGAGCAAGATGAATCCATGGTATTGGCCTCAGGAATCCCTTATACCATCATCAAAACTGGAGTGTTAACAAGTACTCCTGGTGGGAATCAAGGATTCAGCTTTGAGAAGGTACTATTGAGTGTAATATATTTTCTTTTTAAATCGCCTGTGTTTAATCAGACCTTTGATTCTCAGTTACAGTGTGTGTAATCAATCTTTTCAAATAATTCTTAGGACCACTGTGGATGGAAAAAATGCACTCTAGGAAGTAGTGGAACAAATTCTGGGTGTGCTCTTCCATCACTTGCAGAAAACAGATACATAGAAATGGAAAGAAAAATCTCTTCTGCATTTTACTATTACATGCTTGAAAATTTCTGTAAATTAATGCTGTAATAATTTAAACATATTCTTCCTCTGTAATATGATATTGCTCATTTTCTTTTGACATAAATATTAAGAAGCACCATAACAGGAGGCTAGTCTTTATAAATGAAATATTACGGGCCAGTTGCTCAATAACCATGGCAATCAACTTTTATACAGCTTTCTGAACAGGTCACAACCTGAGTCTTTTATTGACAGGACAATAGTGCATCCTGGCCACTGTAATGTGTACAGGCTGCTATTCTGCATTTAATGACCGACAAAACTATTATATATATATACTATCCAGGAACATTAGGATATTACATGGTAATGGACCTTTTCCTTTTCTTTTTCTTCCCTGTAGCAGTTGAATGTACAAGCTTATTGCTTGGAGAAATTGAGGCGAAACAAAATGTAATCATCAAAGGAATTGTGCCTTCCAAGTGATTACCATGTGTTTTCCTTTTAAACTCACTTTTAGGAACTTATTTTCTGGTTATGATTCCTTGGCTAATAAATTTTTCTTTTTTTCTGGCTAACTTAATCTGGTCGGTGGTTTTAATGAGCATGGGGGGATACTTTGGATTAAGATATTTCCCTAATATCTTTACATGAGGCTGTTTGTATCTTCATAAACATGACTATCATATTGGTTTAATATTCTTTCTTACAGGGCAGTGCAACACAAGGAAGTCTTAGCAAGGAAGATGCTGCCTTTATCTGCGTGGAAGCACTTGATGCGGTCCCACAAAGAGGACTGACATTTGAGGTTGGTTAAGACAGATACCAGTAAAGATTTGTAGTTGCTACAATTAAATTGTCAACAAATTCATACACTCCCCAGTTTGTCTAATATGAATGTAATACTCCCTCCTTATGGGGGATTAGGAGGGTTAATTAAAGAGAATTAGATGCCAATGGCCCAAAAACAATACATCAATCTCATTATAGTGCTAACAGTTCTGTTTCATATTATCCTGACACTGGCTGGGAACCCCCCAATGGAAGTTTTATCATCTATGTATCATAAGGAAAATGTAAGCATGCATTTGTAACCAGTCATTCTCATGCAAAGATTCAACTTTGCTCTCCTCAACATTTGAAGGTATAAATATGTCATTAAAATGGGAGAATTATGAAAAAAATTGGATTTATTGCATTGAATTGGAAGTCGACACCAAAATGTTAAAAGGAAAAAAAAAAAAAAAATACACACTATTGATTACCTGCCATACATGTAGAGAACCCACCTGATAGTTCTTTTCCAGGTAAGAGTAACCAATTTACTGTGTGTTTTCCATGTTTATTCTTTGTTGCCCTTTATTTCATTTGTCAATTTTCAGTTTATGCCATCAATTTTTCCAGTTTGTCTGCTGACAGGTGGTCAGTGGTGAAGAGAAGATTTCAGATTGGAAAGAGTGGTTTGCGGCATTGATGGAGAAAGCAGAGCAGCAGCTTCCATGAATGTATGCAAATAAGCAGTAGAGATTTTATTTGTTTTATATTTTAGAGTATTTTCTTAGTGTTTTAATATAATGTTCATCATTAGAATTAAAAATTGCAAAAGCTTTTGCAACCCCTCACTTGAATATCAATGGCAAAATTAGGTACAAGTTTCTATATATTAATTGTATGTTCTTTTGCAACCCCCCACTTGAATATCAAATGCAAAATTAGGTACAAGTTTCTATATATTAATTGTATGTTCAACATTCACTTTCTAACCTCCTCTATCTTTTTGTTCCTTTGTTTCTTTTCTCAGGATATTAAAAAAAAAAAAAAACAAACAAACATGCACAACAGTTATAACTTCCATTTTTTTTTTCCATGTTATTATGGAATTGTGTGATAAATCCATTCAACAAGTTATAAGTTCCATTATTTTCTTCTGTTATTAAGGAATTGTGTAATAAATCATTTCAACACTTGTGACATGTGTGCTAATTCCTTTTAATTGGCATTTACCTCCCTCTGCTCTTCGAAATTCAAGGAGTTCGAACTCTTCAGCAAATGAAAGTTCCTCCTATTTTATGGTACACAAGGAACACATGCAGGCACTCACACACACCACACTTCCCCATTTTTTGGCCAAGTAGGCAACACATGCACACACTCACACACACCCCACACTTCCCCATGTGGGGCTCCAAAGGTTCAGCAACCCTCGTATCACTTGGGCCAATGTCCTGGTATCAAATGAGAGATGCATCTGCTATTATATTGCAACCACAAATATGCATACTTTAACATAACTCTTTCATATATTATTTTCAAAATTGCAGGTGGTCCATTGTTAGGATTGTCAAAAAGGAGGACGTAAAGATAAATCAGGGACCAGTACTTACATCTCCATCTGCATTCATACACCAATCGGTCATTGTCGCCTTTGACACTTGTAATTCTCTCAGCCCTGGCCCCTCTTATATTGTTTGTCATGCACATTTATGTACATCATCACTTATTTTATTGAAAAAGCAAATCCAGGACCACCATTGATTTCCACAATAACGACCCTCATGGATTTGTGCTCTCGTTTTCCTGATATTTACCAAGTTTTTGTTTGTTCAATGTAGATATAAGTCCAAAAGTGAAAGTTAAATAGTATTGTCTTTCATCTACTGAAAACCATGTTTATTGGTGAAATGGAGCAAGGGATAAGATTATGGATTTGCCCCGAATGTCGTGTTATATATTTATATATATATGTATATTTGTATGTATGTATGTATGTATCATTACCCAATAGAATAAAGAAACCAATAAACCAAGGAGAAGAGATAGAGAAGAAGAGAACACTGAAGTAAGGACACAGTCCACAATCTGCATTCTTTAATGTTTGATTCTTCCCTTTGATATTGGTAGGTATGTCCCACACCATGTCTCCTAAGCCCTCTTCCCACGTTCATTGCAAATGCCCTTGAAGCTTGGTCAAGGGCCGGTGGGTGGGTGGTGGGTGGGTGGGTGGTTGGAACTAGCCCACTGCATAACACAATTTTTTATGGACCTTGATTAATCAGTGGCGGCTTGACTTTGTAATATTGCCTTCTTATGAAATAAATACTTTAGTGCAACAAATTTGGGATGGAAGGGCGATAGTATTAACAACTCATAACATGAGTCTAACTTTGAAAGGTAGAGTAGAAGAAACCCCTTGGCTTGGGAGTGACACTAGGGGTAATTTTTTTCCTTATTGACTAATCATGCTAGTATATATTCGGGTTTTTGTGTGATACGTGCATATCACATCTTGAAAGTCGGAAGTTTGAATTCCCTTAGAACTTGGGTTACTCCTAAGAATTTTTCTACTAATTATTCGGTGTACGTGGGATGGGAGACCGCACATGTCTGGTGGTAGATAAGGTGTTTTAAGAGGCCTAACACCACCATTATCGACCATTTAACAAGTGCATTTTTTTTTTTTTTTAAAAGAAAAAGAAAAACTAATGTATAAATAATATTTAATTATTATATGAATATATTTCTTAGTGTTGTAGTTGAAATTTAAACGGTCCTGAAAAAAGAGTGAGAATAGCAAAATCATATAATAGAACAATAATTATTAATACCACATATATTGGGGAGTTCAGAACAGACTGACTTTTCACTGTCCTCTCGAAATCTCACTGTCCTCTCCAAATCTCACTTATTCTTACTAGTATGCACTGAAACCCGTCCCAATAAAACTGGAACAGGAGACCCTGGCATGTTTGCACCATTATTGACTTTATTGTGATCCTCTCGTTTTGTATTCTGCTTTTGACCTTTTACAGTTCATAATATATTATTATTTGGCCTTTTTGCTATTGGGCACCATGAAATGCATAGCAGAAAATGACACTGAAGATAGCACCCACATTTTCATTAAATATATGGAAAATAAATTAGTGTATCCAGAGGCAAAAATTTTAAATCCTCATTGTGCAATAAAAGAGATTATGAAGTAACTCAACATATTTGTTTGAAATGCAGCAAACAAACCTTGGCCTTAATATGCAGCAAATGACCCAAGCATGGTCTTTGGAGATTACCTCTATGGCCTTAAGATAACATGTGGATAGAGTTAGTACCAAAAAAAGATATGATAACATGTGGTATCACTGAGGTCATGGTTTTGGATAGAGCAAAACAAAACATTAACATAAGATTCCGGCAGCCGATCTCAAATAGTTGAAAAAAAGGCTTTGGTGGTTGTTATACCTTAAATAAACCATTTTTATGGACTAAGCGTTTCTTGTTTGAACAGGCAGGTTTCATAATTTAAAATTTGCGCCAAATTGGACCTTAAATAAACCATTTTTATGGATCACAGATGGCTTTTCTTGTTTGAACTGACGCTGTATTAGGTTTTGTAATTTGAAATTCATGTCTTAAATTGGGAGGTAGAGAAAGGATGAGTCTGAACTACTACAAATAGTAAGCAGATGCAAACAGGATGCACCTGACCATTGCAATGGGTTATGGTCTTGCAATGGTAAATCTTCTATCATTTTTTCTAATTCGTTCAAACTGAGTGGTATAACTAAATGCAACTGTGCCCGTATGACCAGTCCTCAATGTCTATAAACTAGAAACTAACTATTTACAGCAATCATGCACATGGGTCTTACATCTTCCAAGTCCCAACCAAGCCCAAGAATTGATCAGTCTCTCCTTCCTAGAAAAGCTTGTGGGGTCCAACAAAAAAAGCAATTGATTGACCCTCCAGATCTAGAGAGAGAGAGTGATAGAGAGAGAGATGTGCTGAAATGTTGTACTAAATTCAATGTGAAAGGACATTGGTTTTACAATCAATGAAGAAGTTAAAGATGAACAATGTGGGAGAAAGATCCCAAGATAATCAACTTCAAGTTCAGTTCCATGCATTGAATCCTAAAACTAGAAGTAATGGGCCCTTGTTGTCTGTTCATTTTTGTCACTTAATATGCTGTATAATTTTATTTACTTATTATATATATATATATATATATTTAGGGTTAAGCAAAATACAATCATGGCTTTACTGAGACTCGAACACCCAATCTCAAGGAAGACTTGTAGGCCCATTTGGTATATGCTATAACTTGAGTTCAATCACCAAGGATAGCTTTTTTCCTAAAATTCTTTCTCAATTGATTATGTCCACTAAACAACACTCAAAAGGTTGCCAATACTTGGAACAAAACAGTGGTCAAAAGGCTAATCATCCACTAATATGAGATTCCACTATTCTAATCTTGTAGTGACTATCATCCAAAGCTTCTTTTCTTGTGCTTTCAAAGCATCTTTCAACCTAAGGCCCCCCAATAATATCCTAGGTCATTACAGAAATGCATGTTCTCTATTCCCCGAAGTCTCGAAGAGAAAAAGTTAAAGACATGATTATGAAATGAACAACATAGAGAAGTAGCTGTTTGGGGGTTTTGGGGAAATATTTTGACTAACAATATACACCAACCATACCCCTTGAGGTCATTTAAGAATATCTCCAGACAAACATGGGGAAAGAATAAAGAGGCTTGTTGAAAGTTTCTATCAAAAGCACTAAGAAAATGCATCAAAGTGATTGATACAAGACAAGTAACAAAGACCTACATAGATTTAAGCCTTTTTGACAAGAAAACTGAAAGGAGAAGGAAGTTTAGGGCTTGTTTAGTTCAATTTTAGGGAAAAGTTCTCCGCTTCCCATTTCGAAATCACATAACTATGAAAACTATTTTCCGAAAACTCCAATGAAGAATTTAAGATATCAAACTTGGGAATTGCCAAACAACAATGAATGATCTCACAAAGCAGCCAAGAATCAGCGGCACTATTAACAGTAGAAGAAGAAAGACACAAACATTATTCACCCTTAAATACCGAAAATCAGTAGAATCAATGTAGACATTGAAATCGAAACTCTGACAACATGCATGATTCCAATTAAACAGAGTTGCATACCTTTTATTGGGGGGTAAATAACAGAGTTATATACTAACCAAAAAAAAAAAAAAAAATCAAACAGAGTCATATAGAATTAAAAAGGATGATGTCTGAAGCTATTATTTATGAAGAAAATTGATGACAACAAAGGTGAAACTAAAGTGCAAATTACCGATAATGAGAAGTTACAATTTGGAATCAAACTATACCAGCCATGGATGGAAATCACTTCTTTTTCTTGCAGAAAGTGTTAAAGATGATTGTTTAATCAATTACCCGGACCTAATTCTCTTCTGACCACTTTTCCCATTCGATTTTATAGTCCCACTCGAATCTCCTTCAGATGAAGCTTCCATGGATTTGGAAAAGGAGGTCGAAAGATCAGCGTAAAGATCCACCACCCTTCTAATGTTGTTGTTGAGCTCTCTAATTAAGCCCACGTTTCGGGTTAAGTTGTCGGGGATCCTAGACTCATGGTTTTGGTTAATCTCATTGATTAGCAACCTGTTCTGATCCAAAATGTTTTGTACTTGCACAAAGCTCTCCTGAAATGTCTGCAAAACTTGGCCATCTACTTGTGTTCCATTACCAATGCCAGAAAATATATCACCTTCCATATCTGTTAAAACTTCAATTCACTCAAAACCACTCCAATTCTGCACCGGAAAACATAACAAAATATATATATAATTCTAACAAATGCAATATATGATAAAATAACAAATAAATTTCATTATTTTCAATTCTGAAAGCTACCCATATCTTATCTCAGCTTTTCATGCTTCTGAAAAAAAAAAAAACACATAAGCTATGGAATAATTCAAGAAATTTGATCATGAGACACAATGTATAAGACAAGAATTGTAGGTTCAAAGTACTAGTTTTTGTAATACTACCAAGGCAAAATCAGACATGGTTAGAGTTCTATGAGATAAAAAGAGACTGCTTCTCCCGAGAAAAAAAAAAAACAGAACCTTTTCTTTTTGTGTTATCCAAAAACCAATCCAAAGCTATGATTTTGAATTGAGAATCCCAAAATTCAGACACAGAGTGCCCACAGAACTGATGAGAAAAGTTCATTCAGAAGAAACAAAACCAACAGAAAAAAAAAAAACCATTTTGTTGATTCTTAAATTGCAGAAGACAATAACTTAGTTACCATGTCGATGATTATGTTATACTTTGAATATCAAGCAGTTAGAGAGAGATCTAGTAATCTAAGTGGAAAACAAAAGCAAGTGTTCCTTGAAAAACTTTATGAAAAATCACCAGTGTTGGAATTTACAGAACAAAGAGAAAAGGAAAAGACAAATAACACATAAAATTGAAGCCTCAAACATACCCACCAAAGCAAATAGTGAGAAAACAATAAATCATGGACTTTCTGGGGCATTTTCTTTGGACTCACCTGGAAATTGTGGGACATTTTTCCGGAAAGAGAAAAAGTGAAATTTCCCGAGAAAGTATGGGAAAGGTGAGCGGTGGAATCAAATCTCCGTCTGTCTGGGGAGGGAGCTGAGGATGAACAGAGGCCCTGAAATCATGAACAGGAGAGATAGACAGAGAGAGAAAGAGAGAGAGATAAAGAGTAGATACGTGTGAGATTTGACAGTACAGACGGAGTACCCTATTGTTATATTGTTTCTCTCTCTAGATGTTTCTCTCTCCTCGTTTACTTCACCAACGGGATTCTCCCCTTCATTCATTTGTGCTTACGAATCCGGATCTCTCTGTAGTCTGTACACATTTGGGAATCGTATAAATCATGATATAATATGGCAAATAAAAAATGTTAACACTATTATTTAAAAATAAAATAAAATTACAATACTATTAAACTTAAATATATATTTATTTTTTAAATGTCGTATTCTTTTGGGTCCATTTTTATCCTAATTGGTTGGTGGTGGGTTTGGATTATGTAGGTTCGATATCAAATAAATATATTTATTTACAGTAGTGTTTGTATAATTATTACATTGTTTATGCAAATACTTTTGCATTCTTTGATTAAAAATTTATTGTCCCTTTCAGTGAACCAGAAAAAATACTTGTGGTTGAGACTTGCGAGTATTGCTTAGGGTATGCTTTATTTTGTAGGACACGGTGTAGGGGTACTCTAGGGGCTGAAGCATATTGACTTTGCCAATGATAATAATTTTAGGACAATCAAGACCGTCCATCTGGACATAGATTGCAACATTTGATGTTCAAATTGAACAAAGTGTGGTACACCTACGTTACTCTCTTTGCTGACACTATCACCTATAATTCTGATTTTCACAGTAAAATAGTTTTTAGGGATACACAAAAATAGAAAAAAAAATTCTTAGAAGCTGGAGCTCTTTTTTGAAATATGTACTGTAAGACTTTACCATTAGAAGGATATAATAAGACAAAAGTTGTAAGTGGTGTTGAAATAATCAACCAAATAAATTAGAATAAATGTTTAGGATTTTAGACTAATGAAGTCGACTCGAGTCAAAATAGCGTGTTGCGACCTCTTCTTCTTCATGTCCAAAATCTTTCAACTTACTTTTCTTCAAACATGGGTGATTACTAAAAATGAATGCTCCATTTGGTAAAAGGTGCGAAACGTCAATGATCCGTTTGACAAGAGTCATTATTCATCTTGTTGTTTGGTTAAATTTTTATTTTTATTTATTTTATTTTACTTTTAGATGAAAGAGAAAATGATAGGTTGGAATGACTCATCCCTCCATAGTCCATTATTCCTTCTAACTAGTCCATTATTCCTTCTAACTATCAATGAAGAATTCCGTTCCATCCATCAATTCATCTCTCATCTTTTTTTTCTCTTAAACAAAACACAAAATAAGGTAATATTTAACTTGTCACAATTCTACCTCAATTCTAAAAATATATTACTTTTAGTCCCAGCTCTTGAACTTGTGGTTCACAATTGCATAAGTATTACAATTGAATTAGGTTCGTATTAATAACGTACCTCAAGTCCTAACTCTTGAGCATGGTTTGCAATTGCAGAAGTTCTTTAATGTAATATCATGGTGATAAATTGTCTACTATGAAAACATGTATAAAATAAAAAATAAGAATAACTCAAAGTAGTTTCTCTAATAGAAATAAAATTTATCTAACGAAAATCCCTTTCAGAAAACATGCATAAAAAGAATGCAAAAATGAAAGTTCAGGAATTTAGCAGAATGTAATATCATGGTGATAAATTGTCTACTATGAAAACATGTATAAAATAAAAAATAAGAATAACTCAAAGTAGTTTCTCTAATAGAAATAAAATTTATCTAACGAAAATCCCTTTCAGAAAACATGCATAAAAAGAATGCAAAAATGAAAGTTCAGGAATTTAGCAGAATGGAAATATGAAAAAGAAAAATTAATGTTATTGAATTTTTTTAGGAGTACATTACTGTAGCATTAGAGTCGGACTTAGTTGAATCCGTTAAATAGATTAAGAAGAATAAATGTCCTAATATTAGAATCGGATTCCGTTCCGAATAAACAGAACAGAGTGGTCGAACCGAAAGTCCTTGCAAATTTATTTGAGAAAGAATGTTAGGGCAAGCCCGGTCCCTTGCACCAGATTACAACAATTTTCAAATAAAAAAGGAATCTATTTATATATACACGCACACAATTTACGCAGGGACGATTCGAAACCTAAACCTGTCGCCACAAAATCCCCCAAATTCAGAATCGATCAGAAACAAAAGCACTCTTCTTTCCCCGCCATAGCAACAATCAACTACCAACGGTCCTCTCTCATGCTATTCTCTCTCCTCCAATGGACTCGATCGTGTCCTCAGCCCTAGAAGAGATCTGCTCACCGGGCGTCAATGGACTCACCCTCCAAACCCTCTGGCCGAAGCTCCACTCTTCTCTCTCTTCCCAAGGTCTCAGCCTTTGCAACAACGTGAAGAAGGCCATATGGTCCAACCTCCTCAACGTCCCAGGCCTCCAATTCGAGGCTCGAAGCGTTTCGTACACTTCTCAGGACCCTTCGATTCAATCGGTCGAGGAGTCCGAGAAGTTGGGTTTGAAAGTTGTGGCCACCGAGTCTCTCCGCAACAGCTTCCTCGGCGTTTACGATATCGAGGCCTCAGATGCCGGCATTTCGCAGCCGCAGCGTGACGTGCTCGAGCGCCTCGCCATTGCAAGGTTTGTCTCATTTGTTATATCGATGGTCACATTTACATTTCAGCTAAGATTGTTTAGTAGCTATATGCAAGACATACTACTTGTTTTTGGTTCCTTTCGGGAATTTCAATTCATTATCTGTGCCTAAAATTTTGCTGGGCGGTTTTAAAATTTGATCATTATGTAATTAGTTGGAATTCATTGTGTACATACTTTATTTATACAAAAGAGAGTGATTGTGGGGTTGTTTGGCTGTGTATTACACTACTGATTGAACACAATGATTTTAAAATGGTGGCATTATAAGGTTTTGCTTCATTTGTTATATGCATCTACATGTAACTCTCAGAAAGGTGCATTCACCTATAATTTTTTACTAGCTATACTGATAAGAGGCATTGGGTATCCAAAAGATAACTACTTCATTTTGGTCCCTTTGGGAATTTCAATTCATTATTTTTACCTAAAATAATGGTGGTTGCGTTGAAATTATAACTATGGAATTAACTGGAATTCATTTACTGAATAGTTTAATTGGACACTGTACTGATACAAAAGGGAGTGACTTCGGAATTTTGTGCTTTTAGTTTGTTTGTATCTGTAACCAGATATAACATGATGTATATGAGAGAAAAAATCAAGTCATTTATGCGACTGACTATCATCAGGCCGATTGAGTAACAAATTTGATGGTAAAATCTATTTGATTACTTATTATGTTGTTTTGGAAGCTTGAAATGTGTCCTATCCAGTCAAAGGAATTAACCGCCTTTAATTGTAAAATCATCACATTATTCAAAAGGCCTGTGCTTTCAGTGTAATGGAAGAAAACACGGAGTCATGAACTGTCACAAATATGGGACCTGCCATATTGTGTCACTTGAATTGACAAGGGTACCCCAAAAAAGGTAAGGGTTGGGTTCTTAGCACTTAGGAACATTTTAGGCAACGATGTGATTGAGCATAAGTTTTAGCGAGATCGATTTGGTTGCAAATCCGTCATAAGGTGAATGATTTAACTCGAAAAAATAAAATTCGGGTTGTGAAGCAGCTTAGATGTCAAATCCAACAAATAGAGTGACCAATTAGTAATATTGATCAGTCAGAGGTACTGGACTGAGTTAATCGCAACTAGTTAAGGCTATTAGTCATTTTGACAGTGGGTTGTTATGGACTTAGTCAATTTTTTTATTATGGTGGGAGTGGAAAAGAATATAGGACACATGTCAGCTCCGAATGTGGCCAAGTGGTGAAACTGCATTTAACCACCTCAACTTCAATCAACCGCCTAAATACAGCTACAAATAGAAGAATTGGTAGCCAAACAAAGGGTCTCGGACCCCATCAAATCAGCAATTTCATTTCAACTAAATGTTCTTTTATTATAGCCATACCCATAGCTAGGCTTTACTTTTCCGCCATAGAAACAACTTTACTTTCAACCTTCTCCACATGTGGGACTAAGGCTGCGTACATCTGACCCTCCGCGGACCTTGCACTGGGCTAGCCCTATATAGCTTTACTTTCAGCAAGTAGTTCTAGTTTTACTATGAGTCAGCTATCTAGTTTGTTCCTGTTCTCAAGTGTTTTTTACAAATTGGTCAAATTTGTAATGAAGAAGATGACGGATAAATGGGTTTCAAGGTACTCTTGTTTTGATATTCTCTTAGGACTCATTTTAACTGACATTCTGTTTATGTACAATTTCCTCGTTTAGGGATATTTTGTTTTTTTGTGGGCCTAATAAGGTGGAAACACCTGAAAATATTACGACTATTAGGCTTGGATAACTTGTTGGTGTTGTTTTTGTGCCCTTTTTTTCCCACTTCTAAATACAGTACTTTTTTACTGTTTATTTTTTCGGAAGCCAAAATCAAGAGAAAACTAAAACAAATAGTCTATAAATTTTAAATATATGATTCCATTCATTTGTAATTTCTGGAGTACCTGGGTGGATAAGTGACTGTCCTGTTGACAATAGGCTGATGCAAAAACTTGTAATTGTTGACTTGAGTTGTCTATTAACATGCCGGCTATATGCAGAACAAATGGAATTACCCAAAGTGAAATTGCTAAGGAATTGGGCATGAAAGGGAACCATATATTCTATGTATTAATGAATCTTGAATGCCGAGGGTTGATTGTGAGGCAGTCAACAATTGTCAGGACGAAAGAATCCTGCAACGAAGGGGAGTCAAAAAATAGTTCCGTTGTGAACACTAATATGATCCACTTATATCGTTATGCAAAGCATTTGGGTTGTCAACAAAGACTTGAAATTACCAAGGAGGGTAAAACATTGGTGGGTGATGAGAATGTGGAAGGAAGTGCTGTGGGTGGTGATGGCATTGCTGATGAATGTGTCAGAGATGATGTGCACGTAAAAGATTATCTACCAGCACTGAAAGCTGTTTGTGATAAGCTTGAACAAGCTGATGGCAAGGTCAGACATATTCAAATCTTATGTAGATCTATCTGGTTATTTATGTACCATTGTGCTAATCTTGTTTCACGACATTTTTCCCTTTGAAGGTTCTTGTTGTCTCAGATATTAAGCGAGACCTTGGTTATCGAGGAAACTCTGGGCATAAATCTTGGAGAAACGTAAGTTTGTATTATGTGGTTTATTTATTTCATCTTGAATTTACTTTTCTTTGTTGGCTCCTTCTAATTGTTTGATTGTATCATTCACTGCACAATGTGCTGTTAGATCTGTCACAGGTTGAAAGACGCTCGTGTAGTTGAGGAATTCTGTGCAAAAGTAAACAAGAAGGTAAATCAATTTTTTTAGTGAACAATGATTGATTTACTTCATCTTTCTTTTCTTTGTCTTGCCATAAATATAAATTGGACTTGAATACCATACTTTTTTATACTAGTATATATTTGCTGTTTTTTCTGCGTCTCTTTCTCTCTCCCTCATATTATGGATTAGTTGTTTCTATGTTTATGTGATTATTTATAATCTTGATATATCAACAACTTACTCTTTTAAAGTGAGTTTTTGTGGAGCTTCCACTGGAGTACCGTTTTTCCTCCTTTCTTCCCACTGCAAGGAGGGCATGGTCATCCTTAAAAGTGGTTTGCCATCCAGGGGCGGAGCCAGGATTACAAAGTAGGGGGGGCTAAAGATTATAATAAAATTTGAAGACGATCATAATAATTCTTATGATAAAGATATGTTATATATATTAAAAAATAAACCAAAAAAAATATTATGATCTCATATATCAAATCAAGTTTTTTTTTTTTTTGATAAGTAAGATATTATTAAAAACGCTCAAAAGGGGAGTGAGACCCAGAGAAACAAAAGGAAAACAAAAGGGCCAAAGGGCGCCTTAGACCTTCAGAGAGGCCAAGAAAACAATAATTTTCTCCATAGATCTATAATCTCTTCCTGAAACCCAACAAAAAAGAGTAGAAATAACAGAGAACATAAGCATAGAAACAGGCTTCTTTTTTCCGTCAAAATATCTCCTATTTCTCTCAAGCCAAATACACCACCAGATACAAAGCGGCGTAGCCCTCTAAGCGTCCCTAATGCCAGCCCCAACAGAGACGCCTCTCCAAGCCTCAATCAACCCTTTAGAGGAAGAAGGCATGGCCCAATGGACCCCAAATAATTGAAGCATCAAATCCCAACAATCTCTGGCCATGCTGCAATGTAAAAGGAGGTGATCAACAGATTCCTCATTGCATAAACACATGTAACAGTGATTGACCACCACCTGATTCCTCCTCCTCAGATTATCCTGGGTTAAAATCTTACCCAGAACAGAAGTCCAAGCAAAAAAGGCGACCTTGCGGGGAGCCTTGGACCACCAAATAGACTTCCAAGGGAATGGATCTCCATGACCAACCGAAAGACATCTGAAAAAGGACCTAACCTCAAAACGGCCATGCGAGTTAGGAATCCAGAACCACCAATCCGATTCCCTAAAAGAAATCAGTTGGCTATACAACAGCTGAAGAAAACGAGAAACATCCTCGATCTCCCAATCCTGAAAATGCCTCCTGAACTGAACATCCAAGACAGTCTCCCATTATCAAGATGATAATAGTCAACAACCATGGCCTGTCGATGAGAAGCAATCCTGTAGAGCCGTGGGAACGCTAGAGCAAGAGGAAGTTCCCCACACCAGAGATCCTTCCAAAAACTGATCCTCCTTCCATCTTTAATACGAAAACGAATATGCTTGCAGAAGTCATCCCAACCTCTCCGAATGAAATGCCAAACTCCCACCCCCCTTGGACCACGCATCACCAGAGAGCACCACCTACCACAACTTTCCCCATATTTGCAAGCAATAACTTTCCTCCATAACCAATGCCTCTCGATCCCAAACCTCCAAAGCCATTTACCAAGAAGAGCCTTATTAAAAGGCAACAACTTTCGAAACCCTAAGCCTCCAAACCGAATTGGACGGCACACTTGATCCCACCGAACCAAGTGAAACTTGAACTCTTCTCCTTTCCCTCCCCAAAGAAAATTACACTGCAATCTTTCAATTCTCTCAGCCACTGAAGAAGGAATCTGAAACAGAGATGAGAAGTATGTAGGAAGGCTAGAAAGGGTGCTCTTAATCAGGATAACCCGACCCCACTTGGACAGGTACTGCTTTTTCCAACCCGCCAACCTCTTCTCGACTCTGTCCACAACCGGATCTCAGCTCCCCACGCATCTTGAAGGGGCACCCAAAGGCAATCTTAAATAAGAAATGGGGAAAGAACCAGTGCAACATCCAAGGATCTGAGCAAACAACTCAATTTCTGGAACATCTCCAACAGGCACAAGAAGACTCTTACCAACATTAACCTTAAGGCCAGACACAACTTGAAACCAAATCAGAACGCATCTCAAAAACCTCAGCTGGGACGCTTCCGCATCACAAAACACAATAGTGTCATCTGCAAACATCAAATGAGAAACCTCCAATTGACTAGCAGCCTCCTTACCCACCCGAAAGCCTCTCAAAGAACCCAACTCTACAGCCCTCTTCAGCAATCTGCTAAGAGCCTCCATCACAAAAAGGAACAGGAAAGGGGAAAGCAGATCCCCTTGTCTCAAGCCCCTCGAGCTAGAGAAGAAACCCGTCGGCACTCCATTCACAAGGACAGAGAAACGAGCGCTAGAGATGCAAAAAAGAATCCATCCCCTCCACCGCCCACCAAAACCCATCCTCTCTAAAAGGTAGAGAAGGAAACTCCAGTTCACATGATCGTATGCCTTTTCAATATCAAGCTTGCAAAGAACACCCGGAACACCACTGCTCAAGCGGGAATCAACACATTCACTAGCAATAAGAACTGAATCCAAGATCTGCCGACCTCCCACAAATGCATTCTGAGAGTCAGAAATGATACCATCCATCACCTTCTTCAACCTAAAGGCTAAGACTTTTGCAATCAGCTTGTAAAAACAACCCACCAAACTAATAGGGCGGAAGTCTCTAACATCCATAGCCTCTCCCTTCTTCGGAATAAGAGCAATAAAGGTTGCATTCAAACTTTTCTCAAAAAAGCCCTGCGCATGGAAGGCATGAAAAGAGCCCATCACCTCCCCACGGACCACCTCCCAACACTCCAAAAGGAACCTCATAGTAAAACCATCCGGTCCAGGAGCTTTACCCCCATTACAGCTCTTCAGAGCAGAGAGGACTTCCTTTTCTGAAAAAGGCTCTTCTAAAACAGAGCACTCCTCTCCCGAAATAGAATCAAAATGAATCCCATCAAGCAGGGGACGCCAAACAGCTGACTTAGTGAACTGTGACGAAAAGTACTCAGAGAAACTCTTACTAATCTCCTCCTCTTTACTAATCAACACCCCATCCACCCTAGTCCTCCCAATGTGGTTGCCTCTTCTGTGAGCATTGGCAAGTCTATGAAAGAATTTAGTGTTATTGTCTCCTTCTTTAACCCATAAAGCTCTAGATTTCTGTCTCCACGAAATCTCCTCCATAACAGCAATCTCAGCAAACTCTGCTTGACACTCAACCCTCCTAGGCTTCAAAGGACCCGTCAACAGACCCTGACTCTCCATCTTATCAATGTCAGCAATCTCAGAGAGAACCCGATTCTTCCTCCAGACCAAATTACCAAACACCTCTTTGTTCCAAACTTTGAGATCATTCTTCAAAAAACGCAACTTGCCTGCCAAAGAATGACTCGGAGTGCCAACCACTCCATACCCCGCCCACCAGGATCGAACTCGCTCCAAGAAACCTTCAGCATGGAGCCACATATTCTCAAATCTAAATGGGGATCTTCTGCTACGCAACCCGCCACATTCCAACAACAACGGAACATGATCCGACAAAGGACGAGCCAAAATGGTCTGAACAACATCAGAAAACTTCTCCTCCCAATCACTCGACACCAAGAATCTATCAATACGAGAAAGAGTAGGAGGAGAACACCCACTGGACCAAGTGAAAGGCCCACCCACCAAAGGCAAATCAAGTAAACAGCAAGCATCAATGAACTCTGAAAAAGCCATCATATCAGCTGTCCATCTTCCCCCTGTCGATCTCTCAAAAGGGGAACGAACAACATTGAAATCCCCCCGATACACCAAGGCAACGACCTTTGCCTACAAATCTCCCCCAACCCCTCCAAGAACAAATGGCACTCACTATTCTTTGTAGGCCCATAAACCCTAGACAAAATCCATCGAAAGCCATCCTCCACCATGGAAAGAGTACAGGAAACCGAGAAACGCCCAACCTGAGAATCCAACAAAGAGATCCAATGAACTTCCCCCATAATCAGGATACCTCCCGAAGAACCAATCGCATCCAAGGCACACCATTCCACGAATCTCCCACCCCACAAACTTTGAACAATCACATCCGTCATAGAAGCAATCTTGTTTCTTGAAGACAAACTAGATGACCACCCGCTTTCCGAATCACCGATTTCACCACTTTCCTTCTAGTCGGGTCGTTAAGACCCCGAACATTCCAAGAAAGAATTTGAAGCTTCATAGGGAAACAGTAGTATTGACCGTGTCACCCCTCCTCCCACTGGCCCTCTCCCTGGCCCCCCTCCTCCTCCTCCTTTCGTAAGTAACGAGAGTCGAGGGACTTGGAAACCCTCTTTCCTCTCTCACCACTGGAGCACTCCCCCTACAATCCATTCTATCAGCAAACTGAGCATTAAATAATTAAAAATCACCTGTAAATAGAGTTTTCTGATCTCAGAGAGATTCTTCTTCTTCTATGTATTCTCTAAAGTCTCTGCAATTTCCTTGCTAGACCCCCAAATAGGCCAAACCCTATGACTGAAAATTCCACCGCGTGTTGAGAGGAAGTTGCTGAAGAGCAGTAAAAATTGATTACATATCACATATGGATTGGGCTGATAGGAAGAGGAAGAGTAGTACTATGGATTGGGCTGATAGGAAGAGAAAGAGTAGTACTAAAAATTGATTACATATGGACTGGGCTGATAAGAATTGTAGTACTAATTTTTTTAAAAAAATTGGACCTGGGCTATAGCCCAGGTTAACCCATCAAAAGCTCCGCCCATGTTGCCATCTTGAGGCACTTCTCAATATTGAATTATCTTCCAGTGTTCTTGAACTGAAAGACATTGACCTTTGAATAGATTAACTAGGAGAGGTGGGGACAGGATGGTGGGATTTCTTGGTGAATGGATGCAAATTGACATGTTTAAACAAATAAACTTGGCTCACTTAAAACCAGTTAGATTTCTAAAAGAGTGGTTGATGCAAGTTAGATTTCTAAGTTTCTTCTTCTTCGTCTTCATTTTTTC